CGCGGGGCGGGGGTGCATTCAACCAATTCTCTATCGCTTTTGGAGGAAATTACAAAACAACGCCATCTGTTAGGAGCGAGCAACAACTTTTCTCTTAGTCAACATTTGAAAGGATATATTTATACCTACATATCTATAATATAGGTAATACTTATTGTATACAGTATTGTTTATATTATGTACAAATATACCTATGCAATTAGAACTTTGTAAAATAAAACAATGTATAAAAAAAAACGTTTATTTTCTTCTTTTCAAGACAACAACGTTTAACAGACATTGCAACACAAAAATAAAGCGTTAAATAAGTGTCTCTACCTCAATACTACTCGGAAACAACACACAAGGATAACAAAGATCAGAAGAACCTAGGCTCAACTCACGCATTAATGAAGATATCAGAGAATAATTGTTATTAGTTCCAAGCAAGTAAACATACAACCACCAAAAAAATTCCGGTATGAATGTCATGTTGACGGACAACATTCATAACGACAGCTGTTGCAAATGTTGCTGCTTTAACGCTGATGAAAAGTACCAAAACAATGGTAATAATGAAATGATACAGGCACTAAGTTATGATTTCTTAGAATCGTGTTTTAAAGTGCTAAACAATTTTTTAAGTTTTCAATTTTTTTTTATTTAAGTCTACATTTATCAATTTGTTCATACAAAATAACTACCAACTCAATGTTTAAAAAAAATAATGGCAACATTTTATTTCTAAAAGTCATTTTATAATGATTCCAGAAAATAGTGATATACGTTCCGGGATAATAAAAACTAAAACAACTCACTTTATGTTTTATGCGGATTATACCGAAAGTAACGATATCTATAAGTATCGACTGGCGAAATTACATGACGTACACACGTATTATACGCCTAAATGAAGTGTACGTAATGTTGTTAAAATTTTAGAACAAATAAAAAACCATTGTATTTGGTTTCATTATTTTCGTAACATTCCCAGGATTGTCGACTAAGATTGTACCGCCTGGCCGGCAGTGACTGACGTGAAACCATGGCTGTATGTTATTTTTCTTAAGACTGCTACACACGGTATTATTTTGCAACATGGATAATCTGCAGACTCTGCGTCACAAAAAGATTTAAAAACTTGAAGTTCGGCTTACAGAGGTTCTACTGTTAAAGTTCTAATAAAGAATGTTTATTATTTTACTTAATTTTTAAATTGTATCTGAATATAATTTACATGATGAAGAAATAAATCAGAAGATATCGACTTAGTACATCGTGTCATATATAGCCGAGCGCATCGCCCGCCCCGCGTCCCGCAAACCATCAGGAGGGCCAAGCTTACGGCGGTTTAACTATAAATCCCAGGATCAGGCAGGTAGGAGGTAGGAGCACCAGGGACTTCCTTTCTAGGGTATACCTGGTTCCCCGGCTATTAGTACCCGAGACGGCGTGCGGTTTTAGTCAAAAAAGTAGTAGTTTAGTAGTTTTAGTAAAAAAAAGGTAGGAGGTAAAAACTAGTTGTAACGTAATGAAATTGCAATCTAGTAAGAAAAGCCAAACTAATAACAAAAAAAAACCTGTTACGGCACTGTAACAAACGAAAATTATAGGTTATTTCCCTATCTCCAAAGAGGAAGTCTAAGCTTGTAAGATACAATAATTAACTCACCAGGGTTCCAAAACGTCTTACAAATAATCGGAGGCATTACTAATAATTCCTGTAACTAAATAATCAAAGATTTAGAACACTAGTCTCCTTAAGCCAAGTACGAAAACGTGCCGACTAATTCGAATTAAAACTTACCATAAAGGCAAAAATAATATTTCCATTCAAAATAACTTCCTTTCTTAACAAAACCGGCCAACAATAAAAGGTGATTAACCCTCTGATTATAACAAAATGGAAACGGATTTCATTTCCATCTTTCAAAAATCACAAACATGTCTACCCCGGTCAGCTTCGCCCAGGAAGATCCAAAAGCGACAATAAAATGTTGCCAGAGCAAAGAGTGCAAAAAAAAACTACAATCGAATCAATACAAAAGTCGATTAAAATAGACTAAAACGTCAGAGAATCCATATGTCAAAGCTACCTACAAAATAACAATACGTCGATGATTAACTTTTCTGTAATAGGGAATATGCATGTATTTTTTTTATTTTTTTTAACGATTCTACTAGTTATTAGATTACCAAAAATAAATATAACACATCCGAAATATAAACCGTTAAGCAAAAAAAATATTATTGAAATCACTATCATTTTGGGGCAATTTGAACACGTCCATTTTAGCGCGCTTTTTTTGTGACGTCAGATTACACTTTCAGACGAATTCGATGTCAACAAAGGAGTGAAGTTCACAAAGTTTCTAAAAGTTCAAAAAGTGAGTAATAAAAATTAACTTATTACCATGGAAAGCCAATAAAAACTTATTATAAATATTGTGCCGTTCCTTTGTGCCCAAATAATATCAAAACTGCACCTGACAAAGTATATTCAGTCATTGTGTTGAGTCTTTCTACACGGGAATTTAATAATTTAACACTGAAAACGTATTAGTTATTAACTTAAAATGAAACAAATAATCATCAGAAACCAAATATTACGTATACACACAACTTGTTGACACTCTTGACAGTGTAGGTTGACGTCACGTTTTATTCAACCAACAGCGTTGCGTTTTAGAAAGCGAGGGAATCTTAAAAAAAGCCAATTTTTGCCACTATTAAATCATAATAAATTTCAAAAATAATTGTATGGGTATCTTTTTATAGCAATAAAAATTACAAATAAAAATATTTTGTCCATTTTGGTGTCACGTGCATATTCCCTATTGTGCGAAATGCACAGTTACAATAACAATACACTATATGGTCCAAAATGTGCATCTAGGGGTACAATGCAGGGTGCTATCTCCTTTGCTATACAATATTTATACAAGTGAAATCTGTAAATATGTGAATATTGATGTAGATATTTTGCAGTTTGCTGATGATATTGTTTTGTACAGTAGTAATTATAATGTAGAAATTGCAATTAACAATATTAACAGAGCCCTGTCTCAACTATTTCAATATTATAATGATGTACTACATATAAAAATTAATGCCTCTAAAAGCCTTTTATAATGGTGAATTTATAAACCCAGTAAATTCAAAGAAATTTTTAGGCATAGTAATAGATAGGAAATTAACTTTTCAGGAACATATTAAATATATATCAAATAATGCTTTAAAAGGTTTAAATATAATTAAATGTCTTGCAGGTGTTTCATGGGGAGCAGACCCTAAAATATTAACAAATGTATATAAAAGTATAGTTAGAAGTCATTTTGATTATAGTTCACTAGTGTATATAAACAGTACCCATGTAAATAAACTGGATCAATTGCAGAACAGGGCTTTAAGAATTATTTCTGGTGCAATGTGCTCCACTTCCATGGCCCTTATGGGAGCATAAGGGCCATGGAAGTGGAGAATAAATAGATGCCCTTAATTTTGAGACACATTCTACTTGCAGAGATTTTGTCTTAAATCAATTACTGCAAATCACAGGGGAATTATTAACAAAATTGTACCATCTGTAAGTGGAACTCCTGGGCCTTCAACAACAGGAGACAATCTTTTGAATGCCAAATCTCCAACATTGTCCAAAATATTGCTAGAAATAAAGAATACTTTTACTCATATTAGAAAACAGTGCCCATGGCCATGTTATTCTTTCTCTTATCAGTGTATTTCACATCCCATCAAAGTATTACAAAATCTAATTAATAATAATTCAGATATGCTACAGTTTTTGGCAGATAATAATAATCATTATATTACTTACACTGATGGCAGTAAGGGGAATGATTATGTATGTTCCGCTATTTATGATCCACATATAAAAATCTCTCAAAGCTTTGTTCTGCTCAATACATGTACTATATTTACAGCAGAGGCATATGCAGTTTATCAGGCTTTATTACATATCTGCCTAATTAACAATTATAAATACTTTTTGATTGTTTCTGATTCAATGAGTTTGATAAAAGCCTTAACTAACCTTACACTCTCATTTAAGTCAAATTATATTCTGTATTTTATCAAAGAAATAATTTATCAATATTATCTTAAGCACATAAAAATTTCTTTTCTATGGGTACCTTCTCACAGTGGTAACTTGGGCAATAAAATAGTTGATAAAACCGCATATGTAGTAATAATGCTGTTGATGTTAGAAATGCAATGGAAATTCCTATGACTGATTTTCTGCAAATTATCAATGAAAATGTATGTAAGTTATGGCTAGAAATGTGGAAGAAAGACCAAGACATAAAAGGAAAGTGGTATGGAAATTTTCAAGAAAGATTGCCTGTTACATCCTGGTACAATAGAGTGAAAGAAGCCAGCCGAGACTTTAAACTACAATAAATAGATTGCGCTTTGGCCATAATACCGCACCGTCACACCTTTCTAGACTTGGCATTATTACAGATAATACATGCCCATATTGCGAATCCCAAGAAGGAACCATGGAACATCTGATTTTTGACTGTCAAAAATTCTTGCTTGACAGATTAGTGTTGGCTAGTGAACTCAGTGATGTGAAAAATAAGTATAACACTTCATCCCGCCCGCCGCCACTAGAACAGTTATTAAAAGACAAAAACACTTACAAACCAATATATAAATATATTAAAAACACTATTAAAACAATTTACAATAAAGTATAGTGAAAGTGCAATGTTTGTTCAAATAAAATAAGACTTGACTTAAAGGTCTTAGTTACCAGGTCATTAAATTCCAAAAAAAGAAAAAAAAAAATCTGACATTTTGATTATTAAATGGTTATCTGTGATTTTGATTACCGGATTGCATTGGTGTGTCTTTTGTCATGTTTGAGACATTTTTATTGTACGTTAATATCGTATTATACAGTTAACTAAACGGTATTATTTGAAGCGTGTTTTGTTCTAACACTGGCAATACATCTTTTACAACTTTTATGTTAAGCCGTTAAGTGCCCAAGTGTTATGGTTTGTACCTACATGTTAAATTGAATAGGTTAAAGATAATTTATTTTATTTTAGTAGTTGTTAAATCTCTTTGAATCACTGTTTTGTAAATTGTTAACTTAACACTGTCTAGGAACCGCCTAATGCCGGTACCAGTTCGCCTGGTCTGATTGGGTCGGCGCCCTTGATTCCGCCAGCTATGCTGAGTGGCTTGCCACCGCCGATGCCTCCAACAGTGGGCATGCCTCCTGTACCCGGCATGCCACCGAACATGACAGGTTTGCCACCTCCGATGGCATATCCACCAATTATATCGCCATTTTCCATGCCACCACCAGGATTTCCAGCTTTTAAGCCTGTAAGTAATTTGTAAAAAAACTTTAATCAACACAAAAATATACTCATTTATGTTTCTAAAAGCATAGCAGCATAATTTACATGATTTTGTCCCGGTTCTATGTTTGTAGTACAGAGAAATAATTTTGATATTCATTGTTTTAGGATTTAACTGCTCCAGCCCCAGATATAGCTCCTATGGCCAATCAGAGTAGTCCTTGGTCTGAACACAAGGCCCCTGATGGTAGAACATATTACTATAATTCTGTTACTAAACAAAGTCTTTGGGAAAAGCCAGATGACTTAAAAACGCCTGCAGAGGTATGTGCTTCTTATTTTGATAGAACATTTAAAATGTAATAACTTAACCTTTTTTAATTAACTTAATTTTTTAATGAAAGGTTCTCTCATAGGAATGTTAATTAATGAAAGTCTATGATTGTGCCTTATTACATTAACCCTTAAAGGCTTCAATGATTTTGTGTACTTACTACTAAAGACTACAATGGGTGTAAAATCACCTGATTAAATCATTGGAGTCTTTCATAGAAATAGACTTATTTAAAAAAATATATTACATGTACTTAAATTATGGATATTAGGGTGTCCCGTCAATGTATGGGACTTTTTTTTTTAAAGCGACGGCTACGCAAGAGGTATCAAAAGTTGCGTTTTTGTGAATAGATTACAAATATAACAAAATTTAATTCAATATTTGTCATCTTTAGGCCTCTACCGATCCTAGAAGTTTTTCAAATTTGCGATTTTTAGAGGTTTCGAACATAAACTATAAATGATACAAAAATAATGTTTTAAAGGTTTTAATCAAATTTATAGGTACTACAAAGACATAAGGTAATGTTCAGTAAAGTTTAAATACTTATAATTAGTGCTTATTTCAAATACGAAATTGGTTCTTGTGGCCAAAATTAGGCATTTCCGAGATTTTAATCTGTTTCTGATTAAACCATCCCGAGCTGTAGCGTCCGTGACACTTAGAGAAGCCTCCGTCACTAGCTTTACACATCTTTCCACTGATTGTGTATGACAGGGGAAATCAATAACATCGAAGCTTTGTTCGTTAGCCTTAAACCTCAGTTCGTCGTCGGACATCTGTCGCAAAATCGGTGGAGCGGATATCTCACACTCTTGCCAAAATATCAAATCGATGTAATATCGCGCATCGAAGTTAAGTTTTGGTACTTTAAATGCCCTGCGAGTATTGCTTATTTCTGCTTCTCTTGCCTTTAATATTTTGCGAGCTGCAAGCTCTCGAATATGCTCTCTGTCGTCGAATAGCATGGTAACAAGTAAGTTTTCAGGGTGAGCAAAAAAAGCGTTTCTCTCGATCACTGAATTCACAATAGATCTTTGCTTATCAGGCAAAAATCGGGAGTATGTAACCATTTGAAAAATATGATTGGCTCCATCTTTGAATGATGAGTTTTTCTTAATGAGGAACCAAACTGGAGCATAAACTTTGACCACATAATTGAGCCAAGCAGCTTTAAATTATTTGATGGCGAAACAGTACTTACATAAAGTCTGAGTATGCGATTGGCAGTAGTTAGCCATCTTGAATGCGCCATTTTTCCAGGTTGGCGGCTCGCTAACTCAGGGGAACAAGAACCAGTCGTCACAGCATGACACATTTCATACAGATACTTTTGATCCGTACTTAGTTCCTTCACAATGTCATCAGGTAATTCGAGCAAATTGCCAGCCACTGCACAAAAAGACACTAGTGGTTTACTTTCACAAACATTTAGCTGTTTTCCAATAGGTCCTGAGTATTCTTTCGGCCCAGATGTGCTACCATCTAGAGACATAAACAAATGGCGAAGCGGTAATTCATTTGTGTGAAGCATACAAACACACCATTGTAACGGTCTCTTCAAATAGTCTTCCAGGTATTTAATGACACCTCCTTTCCAACCTGTATTTGTAGGAGTGCCATCGCAACCCACACAACTTACTTCTTCTAAGTTCCATCCTTGATTTTCTAACAATTCTATAATAGAAGTGACAATCCCTTTCGCAGTACCTCGACTCGGCGTCGTATGTCCCAAGTAAATAGATCCCGGCTCTGTAAGAACTGAAATGTGTTCTTCTAAGACTTCTTTTCGGTGGTACCGGCTGTCTATTTTATTGATCTTGAGAGTTTTATCTTTTCGCCCATCGAAGTAGATACTCTTTATAATAATTTTATCGATGTCTTTGCTGGCTTGGGTACGTGACTTTGAAACAGCTCTGTGAATCTTATTTTTATCAATCACAAGGTTTAGATATTCGGAAGATACCATTCCTACGTCAACTAAGACTGCTGAAGCGACTGCAGCTGCCGAACGCGTTGATAGTCCGTATCGATCACATACCTTAGCTACTGTTGGCAGCGTCAGAGTGTTCCGACTAAATGAATTAGATGGAGACTCCTTTAAGTCACTTTTAGTAGAAGGTTCTATTGAAAGCGACTGTGAACGAGGCGGCAACACGCGTACCGGTACAGTATCGGTTTGTGAAGTACTCGGAAAACATGCTTACTCTGTCCGCTTCAAATTTTCTTGTCTTTGATGTTTCTTTAAAAGCCTTGCAGTTTCTTTTGCGTCTACGCCGCTTATTGCCATTTTCCTATCATTTCTTTGGTCCAGTAAAAAATCTCTTTCAGAAATGGGAACTTTCTTGGGTTTAGTGCAGGAACAATTTTCAAACGAAGTGCACTTACAAGCAGCGATGTCAAAAAGCTTATTTGACGATTCCAAAAAGCACTTAACTTTGTTGTCATAGCTATCGTTTCTCTTACTTTTAGGATATCTTATTAGTGATAAATATTTGTTAAAATATGCGGTTAGCAGTTGAGTAACCCGTACGTTAGAAACGATGGGAATTGAAGCTTTGGTCCAAATTGTGTTAAGTTTTCCAGAAACTATTGAAAAGACTTCTGTGTTCGATGGATCTTTTCCGTTTTTCTGTAGTTTTAATTCACTTTTAGTAAATAAAATGCACTTAATAACGTCTTTTATAACAGGTAATTGGCGATCGTCAAGTTCTTTATAAGGTCCCAATATAGTACAAGTAGTCTCACTTCGCCTTGAACACATTTTTATGATTAAGTAACGCAAATTACGTTTTTCTTTCAAAGAAGAATAGAACAACTCCTTACAAGAGTAAAATCGAAATAGAAATTAGACGAACTGTCTTGTTGTAGAAGTAGCGCACGTACGAAAATCAAGTCAAAACATGAATTTTGTAGGAATTTTGCAAGTCCGATCCAAACCGATTGATAAAACAACCTGTCGATACTTGCAAATCATAGCCGAGGCTTTTCTTATTGATAAAATTACAAGACAAAACAGGATTGATTCATAAAACATAGAATATACGACATTGACTACAAGGTTGTTTTTGCGAATTTTCAGTAAATAAAAATGCTGGTAGAGCCCTAAGGATATTTTTAAATATTTTTTGAATTATTTTTACGCTAATCTACGTCTAACAGCGCAACTTTTGAGAGGTCTTAAGTAGCTAAAATAAGAATAAAAACATTTCGGGACACCCTAATGGATATATATGGCTCTTTCATCTTTTGATTTGTAGGCTGAATTTTTTGAAAAAAAAATACAGACTCAAAATTAAGTTACATGGGTGTAAAAACACTGTAGTAGCCTTTAATCTTTAAGTATCAAAACTTTAATATGCATCAAAAATGTTTATTAACCAATCTTAAGTAGGTTTAATACATTTTTATGTTACTTAACCAATACATCACATTAATTAAAGAACTAAAATTGGTAATCAAGTTTATTAAATAATGTTTGTAATTATTTGTAAGTTCTGGCCAGTGTGGTATAGTAGGCCAAAATCTCCATTCTGAAGAGAGAGAAGCATATGTCCAGCAGTGGACTACTAAAGGCTGTTGATTAAAATAACCATCTTTAACATAATTGGCAATAGCCCTATAAAAAGAAACCAATATGTATTGTGTAATACAACTATTGTCTCATTCAAGTGAGTTTATGTCATAGATGGATGACCGCCATCATTCTTACTCACCATTCCAAAAAAATACACTTTCATATTATATAAACTCAAGATTGTTGTTATTAATCTTATTTTATGAATGTTAAAGTTACACATTTTTCATAGAATAAATGATTACTTTTAGCTATTAGAGCTTTGTTTCATTTGGATTCACAGATAGTCTAAAATACGTTTAGATAGGTTGGCTAGGTGAACCAGCAAACTTCCTTTCAGGAGCACAGAAGCCCGTGTGGGAAGTTTGTGGCTTTTAGATCTGCATATATACTAGCCTGTTGTACACACAATGTGGGCGTCTGTTTTCTCTGCATTTAGACATTCTCTGCATAAAGGGCCATTTGTCACATTGATGGGATGGTGAATAGCTACCATTTTAGGACTAAATGTCTATTCTATTCGAGCTATTCAAGCCTGCAGAACTGCAGTCTGCAGGTTAAGCACCAACTTGCAATGTGCCTCTCGAATTTGTGCCAAAAGCAAAAGCAAATTTGTTAAAACTAGCTGTTCCAATAACTGACAGCATATAAAAATAATAATTTCATTGAGCTCGCTCTGCGAGACTCCGGAACTGATGTAGTTTATTTATAGCAGTACTTAGCTCTGTTCTCTGCCACCATGCAATAGAAGCATGTGTATAAACAGTCATATGATTATTTTGTAGAATCATAGTATGATTGTAGGTGAAACCAAGCTTATGTCGAGTAGTAGCTTGGCTTGGCAGACAATGATGCAGCATTTATTTATTTTCGCATCAGGTGCCTGCTCTGTAGAAGTTTACTGTCTTTAATCACTCCTAGATGCTTGACCTTCTTGCCTATGCCTATCTAGACTATGTTTAATTGACTACACATGATCATCTCTGTTTTCTGATTCACTGTTTAACAACCTTCAGTACTGAACTAATTTCGCTGTTGAAAAGGACCAAGAATTAGTAAGGTTGTCCTGTATCCACCACGGCTCTCGTTATTTGTGTAGCATAAATTGTGTAGCTCTGTATCTAAGCTTTCTGTTAATTCACCAGACAATTATGGAATTGACCCCATGTTTTTAGAGAACTTACCTCCTCTTGTGTGCCTTGAATTTAACACTCAATTTATAACACAACTACGTTGCAAAGCAGAATTCTGTTGATTTGATCCTCAAATAAGCACATGTATTAGAAAGAAACTGAGACTGGGTCTGAAGAAAATGCTGCAACACCAGGATCCTTACCTTTACCGTTTCCAGACCATTTTTATTAAGAAGTCAAGATTATATTGCTACACTTAATAATAATCATTTTAAGGGTATTATTATTATTAATTTTTATATCGTTAAAAATACAACTCCCTAAAATATGAAATTCTGTGAATAAGAGATTTGCATAATTGATATTATGTTTAACAGAAACTTCTGTCAGCTTGTGTTTGGAAAGAATATACTACAGATGCTGGACGACTGTACTTTCATAATATAGAAACTAAAGAATCAAGTTGGATCATACCTAAAGAACTCCAAGACATCAAGGATAAAATAGCTGCAGAAGAAGTTGCTCAGTAATACATTTGTTAACTTATGCATGAATTCCTGATATCAGCAGTTAGATGATTTTCTTATAGCTTTTTTTATTAAGAAAAATATTAAAAATGTCATATTCTTGCTGTATAGTATTCTAAAATAAAATGGTCCTAAATTGTAAGCAATTTATCAATAATTCTTCCATTTTAGGGCGGCGCTCAGTGCTGAACTGCCTCCCAGTGAAGTACCTTTACCAGCCTCACCATCAGTAGCAGCTTCTGGCAGTTCAGCTCTAGATGAGGCAATGGCTAAAACCTTAGCAGCTATTGATCCATCTCTTGCTAACTCCATACCCATACCAGAAGAAAGTAAGTAAAATTTCCATGTGAATTTCCATTATTAGCACATTGTTCTAGATGCCAAAATAAGTAACATTTTATCATAATTGTAAAAAAGAAATTGGTATTGATTAGTAATAGCCCATAGAAACATACATGCATACATACATACATATCCTATCATAGGTATACCTCTTTAGAGATTCACTCATCTTTCTTTGAGATTACATAATCTACATAACATATTATGGTAGTAGATTGACATTTCCATATCATTTAGTTCAGTGTTAATTATATATAGGGTAAAAATTGTTTTCTCGCATTGCCGTCGATCCATCGATGACGTATCTGGCTCGTTATCGATGGCCGATGGAATTTCGGACATCATTTCCGAGGCCTGGTCCCCAAGTTGGTTGGAGTAGCTCGTGCATTGGTGCGGCTGCTGCTTAACATGACGGGACCCGATGACTCCTGCAGGAGACTACTTGGGGTTTTGCGGTCCATGGCCCTTTATGGGGCCCCAGTATGTGCAGAGGCCCTGAAGGCTAGCAACGTTTTACTACTGTGACGACCGCAGCGAGTGCTGGCCATCAGGGTCAAAAGGGGGATCTGGAGGCGAGCGGCTCTGTATCAGTGGCGCAAGAATTATATTTTGTTTAAATTTATAAAATTTAATACAATTGACTTAAGAAACCATGACTAAAACAATAAAAATCGCTAATTATTATATTCATCTAAATTAGAGATGCACAGACCGCGGCCCGCGTGCCGCATGCGGCCCGCCGGTCGAATACTGGTGGCCCGCCGACAGCAAAAATAATACTCTCGTACATTCGAAAAATATTGAATTCTATTCCAGAATAAAACCAAAAAAAAGTATGTTCGAAAAGCAATTTGAATCTCGCGCTTATCGGTGCGCCGTGCATGCGTCGGTAACAGCGGTCGTTAATGTCGGTAAGCGGTGTTCCAGAGTCGGTTTCGAGATTTCTCCAGACAGTTTTCGACTCTATACGCGCGGTATAAAAGCCACGCTAACCGCAGCGACCGACAGTTCGGTTTTAATTTGAGTGAATTGTCAATAGTTCTAGTGTAGATTTTAACTCGACTAGCCGGTGTCATATATTTTGATCCACATTCAACGTAGATTTCCCGTCAAGTGCCGTGTATAATTGTGTTGTGAAATCGTAAGTAAAACTCTGTTATTAATAAGTGTTTCCCTACCTATTTAATCAATTATTTTTGGTAATTTAAAAAAGGATGGGTAATTTAAGTAGGTACTGTAATTATTTTTAGTGTTAATCCTAGCCAGGATTAGAACGCAACATGGACAAGCCAGGACCTAGTAAAAAACGTAAGGTTAAAGATGAAAATCGGTAGTTTCAAGAAATTTGGACTGAGAAATACTTTTTTGTATGGTCGCATAACAAAGTCGTTTGTTTAATTTGCAAGAATTCTGTTGCGATTGCAAAGGAATATAATGTAAAAAGGCAATATGAAACGCAGCATCCTACTTTTACCAAGTTTACAGGCGAATTAAGAAAGCAAAAAATGTTGTCTTTAAAACGGGAGCTTATTGGTCAGCAAGCTATGTTTACAAAACCCATTCAAGATTCAGAAACAGCTACAGAAGTTAGTTATGAAATTTCTCGAATGATAGCAAAGCGAAGTCGCCCCTTCAATGATGGGGATTTTGTAAAAGAATGCATAGAAATTGCCGCTAAGAAAATGTGCCCAGAAGCAGCAAAAAAGTTTGAGAAAATTCAACTGAATCGTATGACTATCCAAAGACGAATTATGTCTTTGTCAGGTAATATTGCGGAACAATTAAATGAAAAAACTAAGATCATTGAATTTTTTTCATTAGCACTCGACGAATCCACTGATATTAGTTCCACAGCTCAACTTCTCATATTCATACGAGGTGTTACTCAAGATTTTGAAGTCTTAGAAGAGTTATTAGGATTGTGTTCATTGAAAGGTCAAACCAGAGGAGTTGATATACTCAATGTACTTTTGGATGAGTGTTCAAAAACTAATTTGGACTTATCAAAATTATCGGGAGTTACGACTGACGGTGCTCCTTCGATGATTGGTGTCAATTCTGGGCTAGTTACTTTGCTGAAAAAGCATCTGCAAGAAAAAAACATAAACGCTGAAGATCTCATGCAGTTTCACTGCATCATACACCAAGAAGCCCTCTGTTCTAAAAAAAATTGAATTTCAAAATGTCATGAAAGTGGTAGTTTCGTCTGTAAATTTCATAAAATCACGAGGACTCAATCACAGGCAATTCAAACAATTCCTTGATGACATCGAAAGCGAATATACAGATTTACTGTATTATACAGAAGTAAGGTGGCTAAGTCGTGGATTGACACTGGAACGATTTCTAAATTTAATAGAAGAAATTGGAATATTTTTGGCGGAAAAGCAAAGGGATGTCCCGGAACTTAAAAATCATGATTAGTTGTGTGATTTGGCTTTTTTAGTTGACATTACAAATCAATATTTGAATGTCTTGAACCCACGGCTTCAAGGCAAAAATCAATATCCCAGCTCTACGCTCATGTATCATCCTTTCAATGCAAGCTGACACTTTTCAGATCGCAATTGAATTCTGGAAATTACAATCATTTTCCGAATTATAAGAAAACGGCTGAAAAATTCAACAAAACTGCGATTAATTTCAGTTATGTAGAAAAGCTAGCTATTTTGATTCAATCTTTTCAAGACAGATTTTCGGAGTTTCAAAAAGTGAAACCTCTGTTGGATATATTCAGCAAGCCTTTCACGATTTCAGTTGAAAATGCGCCAGAGTCAATGCAGTTAGAAATTATCGACATTCAAAACGACCAAGATTTACGCAACAAATTCAACGAAGGAGACTTGCTGAACTTTTACCGCTGCATTGATAAAAATACGTACAGAGTTGCGCATAAACGCTCTGAAATGTGCCAGCTTATTTGGTTCTACCTATATATGTGAACAAACCTTTTCAATACTAAATAATAATAAAACAAAAAATCGAAACCGCCTTGCAAATGAAAGTTTGGAAGCAGTTTTGACGTGTTGCTACAAGTAAATTTGAGCCAAATATAAAAAAGTTTGTAAGCACTACGCAGTGCCACGCTTCAAATTAATAAATTATTTTTCAATTTTAATACATATTTATCAATTGTTTATTGTCTTTAATTACCTATACTTCTGGCGGCCCGCCATCAGTTCATAATTTGACCGAGTGGCCCCTAGTCTTAATAAGTCTTTGCATCCCTGGTCTAAATAATGATACAGATGACAAATGAAAGAGTACTGTTGTTACATATGTTAATGTGTTCTGTTTTACAGGTAAACCAGAAGAAATAGCATTGCCACCCCCAACCAACAACACTGAACAGTCAGAGCAGACACCAGAACTACAGTATAAAGATAAGAAAGAAGCCATTGAAGCATTTAAGGAACTTTTGAAAGATAGAGTAAAGTTTACCACTTTATAAATCAACACCTTTGTGGTTCTCAAACACAAATTGTATCTATGCTTCATAAAGACATATTGTTGTTATAGGGTTGTCAATTTTAATAGCACATTATTTAATTTGGAATTTTCAATCGGCGGATTTAGTATTTTAAATCTTTTGTATAAGCTGACTTTTTTTTTTCTTTACTTATGTAAATATGTACATTGATTCCTCTAATTTTTTGTTCAGTTTGACCATAACAAACTGCTTTTAAAATGTGTGTATATATTAGAAATAATAGTTGAGACATTATAAATGATATAAATCCATTTTATTTAACATAGTCTTCTATAATATGCATGCAACACAAGACTCTTGATCTTAATAGATTGAATTATACTTAACAAATGTTTGTACCATTAGAATGTACCATCAAATGCATCATGGGAGCAATGTGTCAAGATAATATCCAAAGATCCGCGCTATGCAACATTCAAGAAGCTCAATGAGAAGAAACAAGCCTTTAATGCGTACAAAACTCAAAAGTTGAAAGATGAGAGAGAGGAGCAGAGGTAAAAATATAAGCAAAAATGTTTTACTTGCCCTATTTTTTTAATAGACTTTCATGACTAACAAACTCGTTCATACACCTGAAGGTGGCATTTTCTGCATCTTCACTTCTTATATTATTATAATGAATAAATTTGTTTTGTTATAAAGAAATTAAATGTTTGCAGATTGAAAACAAAAAAGAATCGCGAGAACTTAGAAGAGTTTTTGTTAGGTTGTGATCGTGTAACATCTTTAACGAAGTATTACAAGTGTGAAGAAATGTTCAATAATTTAGAGGTAAGCATGGATTAAACAAAGTCAGTAATACCTTTCGTAGTAATAATTTTACAACTAATATTTAAATTATATCAGGCTGAAACCCAAAAACCATAGAACTAAAAATATTTATATCTATTTAGTTCTGTTTTACTTGGAATGTCCACTGAAAAATAAAGTTTTCAGCAGATTCTGTTGACTGTCGTAATACAATGATTTAAAATAAATTCAAATATTTTATATCCTGGCATCAGCAAATTCAAGGTACAGTTAAATCATGCACTAATCAGTGTAGTTTATTTTAAAACTATCCTATGCTTACTTTCTAGATATGGCGATGTGTGCCTGAATCCGACCGCAGAGATATTTTCGAGGATTGTATATTTGCCATTACGAAGCGGGAGAAGGAAGAGGCGAAGGCACTAAAAAAACGTAATATGAAGATGTTAGCGCAGGTAATTTCGAAGATGGTTGTAAATATTTAAGATATAATTCTATAAGGCATTTACTAACCATTTACCATCTATTATAATTAGTATTCCAATGTTATGCTATACTTAATAATTTAACATATTTTTACTACTTTAAATCAACTGGTACCTAGATATATATAAAGATATTGACTCAATTTAAAAAACGATAGATGGTGTCCTGTAATAATCAAATAAATCTACAATAAAATCGAAGGTTCTTCTTGTCAAAACCGCGTATGGAACTTCAAAACAGTTTTGAAAATAGAAAATATTATCATACAAACAATTTGTTAATTTGGTTGTAAAAATATCCCAGTTTAATCCGATGCAAATATAATAAATGCATGATTTGTTAGTATTGTTAGTTTTCAATGTTCTTCGTAAACTTCTTTTCAAAGTTAGAAAAATACTATCAACTAATTTTATCAGGTTTTGGAGAATATGAGCGAAATAACATACAGCAGCACTTGGAGTGAGGCGCAAGTGTTGCTGTTGGAGAACTCTGCATTCAAAAATGATGTCAGCCTTCTCGGCATGGACAAAGAGGATGCACTTATTGGTAAGTGGCGATGAATGCATTTCATTTAAATAAAAATACTGATAATAACAAGTTACGCATTACTATGTGGTACTCTGGTTAGTGGTAGTCTGTTATCTATATTATGTATGTTTATCTATGTAAAAATACTTCCCTTTTTTCGAAATACATGTATAATGTATTTAGAAATATATAAGTATTTTTATTTAGAAATGGATGTGCCCTGTTGGCATAGTGTGGACGTATAATGCGCTCCTGTGGTAGACAGTATTATTATTATTACAGTAGTATTCTTGATAAACACGTGAAATGGATGATTCAAGTTGGCGGCATACTTGGTTGTTCTTTATTCGAATTCGGTTGGCTGTTCATTAATTTCGATTTTGTTCTAATTTCGTTCGAAGACGTTGCTTTCTAAAAGCTTCTGGGGAAAACCAAAGTGTTTTTTTACAAAACTTATAGTCTCTAGTCGTAGTAGCATAAACTATGTATATATATATATATATATATATATATATTGTAATAATAAAAAATAAAAAAATTAAATTATATGTGTGGGTTTGTTTTAAAAGAAATCTAAACTAAACTGGTGGCATCAAATAGAAACAAAATAACAAAATAAAAGTCTCGGGCGCCAGATACCACCTTAAAAGAACACAGAACCCACCACAAACACAACAAATACCTCGGACCACTCGGCCAACACTGAACCTTTTTAACCCAGGGCGGGAGGCAGCTAATGAATACAAGATGTTAAGTTCTAATGGCTGTTTATTATCCCGTAGTGTCTGTAGAGTACAATGTGTCTTATGTCTCTAATTACAATAGGTAATTCTTATACACAAATTAGTACTGTCATTAATGCAATCCTTTCCAATAAAAAAATATAAGGTTAAATAAGTTTTAAGAGTCGCATAAAGACTTAATAGACAAAACAATAAACTCTTAAGGGTAGACATAGCATTGACCTACTCTCTAATAAAAAAACACCCCTTGGGGACCTGCAGTATTCAATGCCACGTCGCCAAGAAAAATATAACAAAACACATACCGATGACCTTGGATCAGTCCGAATGAAATGAAATCAAACCAACTCCGAAACTTCTCACTCCGGTTCCCACGTGGTGGAAGAGGCGGGTTAGCACTCCCAGGCTCCAGGCAATGGCGTGCAGCTAAGCAGCTTTTTCTACCATTCCGGTGCTCCACAGCAAACTAATTTCTTGGGGTTAGGCCGGCGAGAGACAAAAATCCGAATGCCACGCAATGACATTCCAATAAGAAAGTAAAGAAATTTAGGTATAAAAGGAAAATCAGAGTATAATTAAAACTTTAGATATAAACTAAAAAAAAACCCTGATTCATCTGCAAATAAGGAAAAATTATAGGTTAAAAGCCTATCTCACAAGATGAATCCTAACTCTGGCAAGAAACCATATATTACTCACCAGGGTCCCAAAATGTTTCACAAATTAAGCAGCGGCATTATAACCATTTCCTGTAACCAATTAAACAAAGAGTTAGAACCACTAATTCTGCCAAGCCAAGCGTGAAGCACGTGGCCGAACAAAACTTACCTTTTTAATAAAAATAATCACTCGAACCAGTAGCTCGAGTCTTAACTAGGTTGGCCAAACATTTAAAGAGGAAATAAGCCCTCGTCCATATCAATAAATATGGATTACTAATAAAATAAATTACAATGCTTCGCTCTGCTTCATTTCATTCGGGTTGACAGTCCAATAGTCACGCCAACGTGTTGCCAGAGCGAAAGCTTGTCCTCTCCCTAGAACTTAAAAAAAATTTTGCCAGGACAAGAAAAACTAAATCGACTAACTAACGCGGCGAACAACATCGATTATTACTCTTGTCCGCCCCTCGACCATCGGCACTCGCAGAAACGACATAAAATTCAACCTAACAAAACAAAAACGAGACTAAGGTTCAAATTACTGTAATGGTGCGAAATGCACCGTTACAATATATACACTGTAAATATTCTACAGAACTGCAGTGTTATTTTAAAATTAAACATTACTCGAAATTTTGTTTCAGTGTTTGAGCAACATATAAGGAATCTAGAAGCAGAATATTTGCAAGAGAGAGAACAAGTCAAAAAGAGGAATAAAAGGCAACAAAGAAAAAATAGAGACAACTTTTTAGTAAGTTTTAGATTAGATTGGAGTGATTTAAAGATGTGGCTTGTTAATCACATCTTAAATTATTTCCAATACAAATACATATTTTTATTTAAAACTTACTGTTACATCTCGTTACTCTTCGACTCAATTATCAACAAATTGCTTGACAAAAAGAACGATTTAAATTTTTATAAAAATGTTTTTATTTTACGTCTCAATACTTTATTTTATTTGTTCAGGTTTTACTGGATAGTCTACACGAAGAAGGAAAATTGACATCAATGTCTCTCTGGGTTGAATTATATCCAGTTATATCAGCTGATATGCGATTCTCAGCTATGCTTGGTATGTGTATTATACGTATTATTCTAAACTATGCACGCCATGGAATGGTAGTAGTTTGCTAATCATCAACAACTTGTTGCAGGACAAAGTGGCTCTACCCCGCTGGATTTATTCAAATTCTATGTTGAAAACCTGAAAGCGCGCTTCCATGACGAAAAGAAAGTAATTAAAGAAATATTAAGAGAGAAAGAATTTGAAGTTAAACCCGACACCACGTTTGAAGAATTTGCGACGGTTGTCTGTGAAGATAGCAAATCAGCTTCTTTGGATGCAGGCAACGTCAAACTCACATACAACTCGCTTCTTGAAAAGGTATATTAACGGAAATTGGTACCGATATTGTAGACTTCTCCTTTTAGTAGATAATACTAACGTGTGAAAATTTTAGGCTGAAGCGAGAAACAAAGAAAAGATTAAAGAAGAATCGAAGGCCCAGAAGAAAATAGAAAGCGCTTTCAAATGGGCGCTGACCGAAGCTAACATCGACCACCAGCTACCGTGGAGCGAGGTCAAGACGAAACTTGATCTAGATGCCCCGGAGTTTGCAGCTGTGCCCTATGAAGAAGACCAAATCAGAATTTATAAGGTAATATAAAAAATATGGTTGACCGAAATGGTCACAAGGATACTTTGGAAGTGCGCCAACTGTTACATTACCGTGCGACTTAGATTTAAGAAATATCATTACACTGTATCATACGATAGAAATACTTGTATGTATTGGTAAAAGACGACTCGTTCTGTGAAGATGAGCAAAAGGTAAGTTGTAAAATTTTAAGCATGTGAAATGAAAGTGCATTCAAGTTTTTCCACCTACAATGTTCTACGTTAAAAACTAAAGGTAAAGGGATCAAAACTCACTACACTATCGATTATAATAGTCGATAGTTACTAACTGACTAAGGAAGAATGACCGCTATTGGCTAGTAAATAGACAAAAGAACTGTGCGCAAATAAACTCTAAATGTGTTTATTCTGTGTAATTGAATACATATTGCACTTCAGAATCACTAAAATATAATAATCATTCTCTTATCCTTACAAAACAATAAATATTTTGAAAATGATGACATTTGTTCCTCTTCACATAAAAACTAGCTATCGCCCGCAGCTCCGCCTGCGTTTCGGTTATCGCTGTAAAAGTAGCCTATGTTACTCACTAATAATGTAGCTTTCCATTGGTGAAAGTTTATGGTGAAATTTTTAAAATCGGCTTAGTGGTTAAGGCGTGAAAGCGTAACAAACAAACAAACAAACTCACTTTCACATTTATAATATAAGTATGGATTAATTTTAGTTTGCACCACTTGTAGCTCTCCTTTGTAGACCAAAAAGAGTCAGACACAGATAATTTGTTTTAAATGAAACATCGAGATTTTTAAATATATTTTTATAGGATTTCCAACACGAACAAGAAGAGACCTGCTTGCATTACCATCATCCCAAGGCGCGAAAATCAAAGCGCTCCAAGAAGAAGAAGCGTTCCCACTCCGCCTCTTTGGTTAGTAACTTGTTCTATAAAGTAGCAAAATGATTCAAATAATAATTACTCGTGCTTCACGCACATATCCGACAATCTGCATTACTTCACCTGTAACACTGTGTATGTACGTACAAATGTAATCCGTCCAAGATCGCCGGTGTGCCTTGTAATTAAGTCCAATCAATATTTAATAGTAGTCTAAAGTGATCGCCAAGGTCGCTGGGTTATTGTTCTATTCGCTTAGATCACTTCGATGGTTATCTGACGTATTTATACCACTCACTAGACGAGAATGTTCTCATTAGAGTATTCTCAGAAGGTATTTCTAGGAAATGATAGGTCGTTTTAAATGTTTACAGCTTCGGGCGATAATCTATTTCCGATCTTACGTGTCGTCATCATCATCATCATCATCAGCCTTTAGTAGTCCACTGCTGGACATAGGCCTCTCCTTAGAAAGGAGGTTTTGGCCCACTACTACACGCTGGCCAGACGGGTTGGTATAGGGTTTGGGGTGCGGGCTAGAAAACCTCCTCGTGGTGCACCCTGGAAACGCTGGCGATGGTACTGTTTCCTCCTTGTCCTCTTGGAGGAGAGGATTATCGCCAGCGGCCAATATTCTAGCAGAAGAGGCAGCCGTTCATCGGCTCTCGGGCAAGGCCTGGTCCAGCAGGGTGGGCGTGTCTGCCGGTTGCCCTGCTGGCTCTTCGCTCTTCGGAGCATGGAGGAGGAAACCTCGGTAAAAAACCTGATGGCGGGGCCCTGTAGGGGCCACAGTTTCTCCGCTGATAGCGGTGGAGAAAGGAGGACGGGCTCGGCGTGTACTCACACTACCACCGAGCAGGCAGGGGGACGTAGTCTCCCTGTCAACCGTCGGCATATCGTAATCCCGAGAAGAGCGCTGTGGTTAAGTCTCGCGGCTCTGATCGGGGGCGAGGGTCTTGGCTTAACCGCCCGGACCGCGAGGAAGATAACCTCTCTAAAAAATTCCCCGAATCCCGTGTTCTGGTGCGTGGCCAGGGGATGCATGGCTGATGGGAAGTTCAGTCGCGAGCGCACTCCAAGCCGAGGTACCTGCGGACCCCTCGGTTGGGTTAAAAACTTACGCTTGCCCGGGTAATGGGGGATCTCTGCCCGGGTGGACCTTTTAGTTCTCCCCCACTCGTGGGACTTATTATGAATTTGAATACAAATAAAAATACAAAGAAACGGACACAAACGGAAAACAAACAAAACCAGGCAAGCAAAACGGACACTGAAACAAAAGGTGCAAGGGAGAAGAGGAACAGTGGAGTCGATGGGTCGTCCACTGAGGGTGAGGTGACATCGGGAACGCCCATCTCGATGGGGCTCCCAGAAGTCAGTCTGACTCTGATCTCTGGGAGCCGAAGAGCATCGGATCGGCTGCGTTCCGGATCCGCCGCTTCGTCGGATGGCGCGGAGGCCATGGAGGCGGAACGAAGCGACAGCCGGAAACGCGGACGCTCCAGGGACGAGGAAACGGATACGTCCCAAGAAATGATGCCACCAAAGGTGGCAAGCAGCCGCCGAGGGAGGCAACGTAAACCGGCCTCGGCCTCGGTCTCGACCCCGTCAGGCTCCGCGTTCTCAAACGCGGAGTCCTACAGAAGTGTACGGGTGGACGGCGAGGCCGTAGCGGAGGAGGAGATCGCGGATCTCCTGCTCAAGGTTCGGGAGCCGGTGGGGGGAAATGCCCCCCAGGCTCCCGTGTCCGTGCAGGAGAGGGCGAAAGCGGCGGTGGCCGTCATCAACAAGGTGGCCACCAAATCCGTGAACCTTAAGGGCTCGTTTGTGAGGGCCCTTAAGGACTCCTCCTCCGCTTTGTCGGAGGTCGTGGAGGGCCTAGCGGGCGACGTCTCTCGCCTGCAGGTGGCCAACGAGAAGCTGACGGAGCGGGTGAACGAGCTGAGCGCTCAGTTCGCCCGCTTCCAGGCGAACCTCCCCGAGCGGGAAGCCCCGTCCGCGTCCCAGCCTGCCCCTACCACCAACTCAGGGGCATTTGACTCCCAACTGCGAGAAATCCTCATCGCAGTTGGGAATATGCTGGACGGACGCCTGGCTGGCCTGGAGGCGAGATTGCCTCCTGCGCCGATTATGCGCCCCCCGCTCGCGTCGGCACAGCGGCCTAAGGCCGCCGCTCCGACCGCGCTCCCCGTTGTGGGAGGCCGCGTTTCTTACGCGGCGGCGGCGTCTGCCCCTACTCCATCGGCTCCACAAAAGCCGAGGAGGGGGGCCAAGGCACCGGCCCAGGCGCCGGCCAAGGCACCGGCTAAGGCGCCGGCCAGGGCGCATCCCCAGGCGCCGGCCAAGACGGGGCCTAAAACGGCGCCGAGGAGCGGAGTGGCATTCCCTCCGCTCCCCACTCCGACACCCCTGCCGGGCCCCTCCGCACCTGCCCCCTCCAACGAGGGCTGGCAGGAGGCGAGGGGCTCCAAGAAGTCCCGAAGGCGGGCCAGAAAGGCTGCCCAAAAAGCAGCCCAAGCCCAGCCTTCGCCACCGGTGGCAACGGCCTCTGCAAAGAGGCCGCGGAAGCTGCAGCCGCCCAAAACCGCGGCTGTAGTGGTGACCGTGTCCCCGGAGGCGGCGGACGGCGGGCTGTCCTACGCGGCCGTCTTCAAAAAGGCCCGGGACAGCCTCGCCAACGAGTTTGGGACGGTGGGGGTCAGGATGCGCCTCGCCCAGACGGGAGCTCGAGTCCTCGAGTTCCCTGGGGCTGAAGGCGCAAAGACGGCGGACTCCTTCGCTGAGAAGCTGCGGGGAATATTTGCAGCCACAGATGGTGTCAGGGTCGCCAGGCCTACCAAGTGCGCGGAACTGCGCATCTCGGGCCTGGACGACTCAGTGACGGCCGAAGATGTCCGCGCTGTAATCCGGGAGAAGACGGGGTGCAGCGCGGACAACGTCAGGGTCGGCACCATCCGCCCCGGTCCAGGAGGGCTTGGCGCCGTGTGGGTCAGCTGTCCCGTAGCGTCGGCCAAAGTATTGGCCGACGCCGGCAGGCTGCTCATCGGTTTCGTGAGCGCCAGGATAACAGTCCTGGCGGCGAGACCGATGAGATGCTACAAATGCCTAGCATCGGGACACACGCGCGTCGAGTGCGACAGTTGTTTTGACTGCGGCGGACTGTGTTTCCGCTGCGGTCAACCGGGGCATAAGGCGGCAGAATGCTCTGCCGCCCCTCACTGCCCAGTGTGTGCGGCGGGCAATAAGCCCGCCAATCACCAGATGGGGCAGAGAGGCTGCAAGCCTCCCCGCAGTTCTCGGCAGACGTCGGGGGTTAGCCAGTCGACCCAGGCTGCCTCCGATATAGTTCGTGCGTCGACGTCGTCGCCCATGGAGGAGGTTGTAGAGACGATCCAGTAATGGATCAAGTCTCCAACCTCCTGGTCCAGACGAACCTGAACCACTGTGCCGCGGCGCAGGATCTCTTCCTGCAAACCATGGCACAGTGGTCGATAGGTGTTGCCGTAGTCGCGGAGCCCTATTCTGTCCCTCCCCGTCCAAACTGGATGGGTGACTGGGACGGCTCCGTGGCAGTCGTCGGTTCCACGACGGCTCATTCCCCGCCCTTGTCGCTAAGAGACAAGGGCACTGGATATGTTGCCGTCGAGTGGGGGGGGATCACCATATATGGTGTCTATTTCTCCCCCAACCGGAGTTTGAACGACTTCGAGGTTTTCCTGACCAGCTTGGAGACCTCGATACGGCGACTAGCGTCTGGGCACGTCCTTGTGCTGGGGGACTTCAACGCAAAGTCCACTGCGTGGGGTTCCCCCAGGACGGACGCCAGGGGCGAGGCCGTAGAGGAGTGGGCGGCCTCGGTGGGCCTCTGTCTTCTAAACAGAGGCTCCACCAACACGTGCGTGCGACAGCAGGGGGGGTCGATAGTGGACCTCTCGTTCGCTACCCCTGCCCTCGCCGCACGAGTAAGGAACTGGCGTGTCCTGGAAGAGGTTGAGACGCTCTCGGATCACCTGTATATCCGATTTGAGCTCTCCCGGACCCAGGACTCCAGTAGGGGTCACGTGGCGCGGCGTTTATCCCGCTTTCCGCGGTGGGCTGTTGCCAGGCTGAACCGGGACCTACTAGAGGAGGCAGCCATAATTCACTCGTGGCTGTCTCCTCAGGCTCCGACCGAGGAGGTCGACGTGGGGGCTGGCCGCTTTCGCGATGCGATTACGCATGTATGCGATGCGGCCATGCCCCGCGTTCGAGGTCGTCGGCCTCCAAGGAAGGAGGTCTACTGGTGGTCCCAGGAGCTGGCGGACCTCCGTGCGGCCTGTACACGTGCCCGGAGGTCCTACACGCGCAGTCGGCGGCGTCACCGTGGAGACGGTGAGGAGGACCGGCTTCATGAGGAGTACCGACGGGCGCGGAAAACTCTGAAGCTGGCCATTAGCCGCGCCAAAGAAGAAAAAAGACAGGAGATGCTGGAGGGTCTTAATCGTGACCCCTGGGGTCGCCCTTACCGCGCGGTGCGACAAAAGCTCCGCGCGTCGGGCCCCCCCCTTACGGAGACTCTCCAGCCCAGCTTCCTGCGAGAAGTGGTTGAGGGCCTTTTCCCACAACGGGCGGAACACACTCCCCCGTCGATGGCCTCCCTGGCCGGAGACGACGGGGAGCACGGGGAGGACAATGTTCCGCCCGTCCGGGATTCGGAGGTAGGGGCGGCTGTTCTACGGATCCGTTCCAAGAACACCGCCCCTGGGCCAGACGGGGTACCGGCCCGAGTGCTGGCCCTGGCCCTCAACCACTTGGCAGACCGCCTCGGGGAGGTGTTCGACGCTAGCTTGGCGTCGGGACGCTTCCCTGAGTGCTGGAAGAGCGGGAAGCTGGTCCTATTGAGGAAGCCGGGACGGCCTGCCGATTCGGTCGCGGCCTATAGGCCCATCGTGCTGCTGGACGAGGCGGGCAAATTGTTTGAGAGGGTTCTTTCTGCCCGCATCGTCCGGCACCTTTGCGAGGTGGGCCCCGATCTGTCGGACGCCCAATTTGGTTTTCGGGCGGGGCGTTCGACAGTCGACGCTGTGTTACGCCTGAGGGCCGTGACCGAAGAGGCTGTGAGCTGTGGCGGCGTGCTGTTGGCGGTGTCATTGGACATCGCCAACGCATTCAATAGTCTGCCATTCAGCTGCATCAGGGAAGCACTCCACTATCATGGGGTGCCAAAGTACCTGAGGCGGCTGGTGGCAGACTATTTAGAGGAGCGTACCGTCGTGTACGAGGACCGAGAAGGTAATCTGAGGTGTCGGCCCATGTCGTGCGGTGTTCCACAGGGGTCTGTTCTTGGACCCCTCTTGTGGAACATAGGGTACGACTGGGCCCTTCGCGCCGATTTCCCCCCCGGGCTGGGTGTAATCTGTTACGCAGACGATACCCTCGTGACAGCCCGGGGGGCAAACTTCCAAGAGGCGGCGCGCCTGGCCACAGGGGGAGTCTCCCTGGTGGTCGGGCGCATTGAGGCGCTGGGCTTACGGGTGGCCCTAGATAAGACGGAGGCCCTGCTATTCCATGGGCCCCGTCGTGGTCCACCCCCTGGCGCCTCCATCGTGGTCAACTCGGTCCTCGTACCGGTTCGGGCCCAGATGAAATATCTGGGCCTGATCCTCGACGGGAGGTGGCTCTTCGACGAGCACTTCCGACAGCTTGCTCCAAAGCTGGTCGGCGCTGCGTCTGCCCTAGGGCGACTCTTGCCCAATATGGGTGGACCCAGCGTCGCGACAAGACGGCTGTACACGGGGGTTGTCCGGTCAATGGCACTGTACGGTGCACCGGTGTGGGCGGCGGCTCTGACCGCCCAGAATAGGGTACGCCTCTGGCGCCCTCAGAGGGTAATGGCGGTCAGAGCCATACGCGGTTACCGCACCGTTTCGACGGAGGTGGCATGCGCATTGGCCGGAACTCCCCCGTGGGATTTGGAGGCGGAAGTGCTCGCCGAAGTTTATCGGCGAGTGGCTGACTTCCGGGCGGAGAGCGGATTTCGCCCTCCGCCCGAGGATGTGCGCGAGTGGCGCGAAGCCGCTCGCCGAGCCACGATGGCTCGTTGGTCGTTCCGGCTGGAGACTCCACGCGCTGGCTTCGCCGCCGTGGAGGCTCTCCAGCCGGTCATCGCCGAGTGGGCAGGGCGGCAGCACGGGACCCTTTCCTTCCGACTGACGCAGGTGCTTTCCGGGCACGGTTGCTTCGGAAAGTACCTGCACACGGTCGCTAGGAGGGAACTGAGTCCCGCCTGCCACCACTGCGACTGCAGTGAGGACTCGGCCCAGCACACGCTGGCGGTCTGCCCCGCATGGGCGGCGCAGCGTCGGGCCCTCACTGCAGTCATCGGAGTGGATCTCTCGCTACCGGCCGTAGTACGCTCCATGGCCGGTAGCGACAGTTGTTTTACCGCGGTCGCAACCTTCTGCGAGGTAGTAATCTCGCGGAAGGAGGCGGCGGAGAGGGCCCGGGAGGACGACCTCCACTCGGACCCGATCCGCCGCCGGCGAACCGGGCGGCGGAGGCCCGCCTACCACAGCCTCATGCCGCCCTGAGTGTGGCCGCGGGTGGACGGGGTGGGTTTCCCCTCCACCCGCATTAGTTTGGCCAGCCGCGAGGGGGCGGCGTCCGCGTGTGCCGGACGTCGCCTAAAGAGAGGAAAAATACACTGAGACGGAGCCCGCACCAGGAGCGGGCTGGCGCTAGGAGGGGTCCGGATGTCTTAACAACAGCTGTTCCCGGATCCCTCCTGTTACAGGCGCAGAGTGGCACACCGTGTGGTTTTAGTCGGTCCGAGTCCGACACACCACCCCGCCGCAAACCCCGGAGGGGTGACGGTCCGAGGGGATTTCCACACGTTAAAAAAAAAAAGGGTTTGTCTCAAGTTTTCCTTCTCTTATCTTTTTACGTGTATAGTACTAAAATTCATAGTCCCGTGCCGTCCTCCGTTATTATTGAAATTTTCGCGGTACTACACGGTTAATGAACTCTCCGGAAGTTTCGTTACATATTGTTGTTACAGTAAAGTAATAATATCGAAATAAAATGTGGTGAAGATAATTCAAAAGAATGAACCATGAAACATGAAACCAAGCCAAATCACTGTTTATTCTCCTATTAACGTTCTATATTTTTGTTAGTTAAAACATTTGGCATATTGTTCGCACGATAATAAGTAGATATTACTTACAATTTGCTGACTCTAGAAGCTGGAATGGTTCGGAGCTTGAAAGTATATTTGTACCAGGATGAGAGTTCGAAAAAAATATATGTACTTTCAGAGTTGTAAATGTAGATCACTTCCAGCATCTGTGGGCGAGCATATAGGTCAGGCTCGACCGGAGTGATACCACGGCCTCACAGTAAATTGTTTTATGTGCTTATTGATAAAAAAAGATATTTATAATTAGTGATTACAATTGTAACCTCGGTGCACCTACCCTAAAAGATTTCTACACCACCTAAAAGTAGGCCGGTAGAGAAAGCCTAGGGCATTAAGTCCGCCGATGTACATAAGTGCATCGGTGGACTGAAGAAATAAATAAAAACCATTGTTAAGCAATTCTTTCATTGCTCTTTACCTAGTGAGAGCCCAAAACCCCCTCCCCCTGATTCTTGGGAGAGGGACTTATGGGGCGTCTACGTACTGGAAAAGTTTTAACCCTATGCCTTAAAAAAAAAGTGGCACTCCGAGAGTGCCGACAGAAGTGTAAACTTATATACAGAGGTGTCGGTAACGGTAACAGTGTCGCGAGTTTAATTGTTTTTTCCCATCTCAAAAATGCCCAACGCGCCTAAAGAAGTTTGCATATCAAAAAGCTGACGGAAAAGAATAGGTACTCTCAGGTAATGCAGTATAAACCGGTATAGTTTATCTCAATAACAGCTGTGTGATAAACATATTCATATAATCGGGAAAATAAGCAACAAGAGCATCCTAGTAAAACTTTCAATCAAACGTGAATAGAAACAGAAACCGCAGTAGTTGGTAGATCATTTCTGCTCAGTTATGGTAAGTAATATTTTTTGTATTACAAAACTTAAGTATTCTTTCATTAAATAGTCAAAGTCGCGATCTCCGTCACCGATGCCGGCAGTACGTTCTCCATCTCCTGCGCCTAGCCATGTAACGTGGACCTCTGACGAAGGAAAGAAGCACAAGAAATCTAAAAAGAAGCATCGTAAACATTCGCCGCCACCTGTAAGTCAATATCCTTTTAATAAAAGAAAATGTATTTACTTAGTTGTAATGATAAAAGGATTTCTAATCATTACAATGAAATAAAATAATGAAATGAATGTCGTTTTTCATGACAGTAAAACAGTTAGCATCAATACATAAATGGGCTGTTTGTAAATTGAACATATTCCCAATAGATGAGAGAATGTAACCTTAGTAGATTTCCAAAAATAAGTCAAAATAATAGTTATAAGCTTGCTTCTAGACAATTTTCAAAAAGCGTTACTCACATATTTCTCATATTGGAAATATGCAAATTGTTAAAATAAATGCAACTTGTATCCATTACTATTTGGAGATATAACTTGAGGTTTAAACTCTGAAGCACTCTGTTTAAGACAGCCTGTGTGTTCCTTTAAATAACATCCTAACTAAAAAAAAAATTTCCATGAAGAAGTCACCAACGCCAGAAGAGGGTGGCATTACAGACGACGAACAAGTGCGGCATAAGAGCAAGAAGTCAAAGCGCAGTGCGCCCAGCAGCCCTGAGGACGAGCAGCAACTGGAGGTCTCGCACAAACCTAAGAAGAAGAAGGATAAGAAGGACAAGAAAGAACGGTATGGTTTAAAATAATGATATATTAATACATTCTTAAATCATACTTTTAGTTTAAAATACATTTACATTTTAGAATTTCGTAATAAGGAACACATACGGTTTTACTATTTTGGGTATATTGTTAGTATTTTTTTTCTTGTAAATAAAATACCTTGGTTCACCACTAGTTGGAAGTACGACCTTCTAAAGGTGGCAGGTCGTCGATGGATATAGTCTGCTTTCAACGAGTCTCTCAGTAGACATGGGATACCTATGTCCAGTAGTTGACATCCTATGGCTGAAAGATAATGTTGATGAAAGCACCATTGTTTATGTTTAATAAAAGAATGTAGTCGATAATAATAAATGTATGATTAGTAAATACTGCATCTTTTTGGCCTCTTTGCTATGTACTTCTGTTTGTATACGGCGTTTAGCTGCACTATGTATTCCTTAACAAAAACCAGTGCAACAAAATGACGAATGGAGCGTTTGCCAGGTCGGGTAGCTCAGCGGTGTGGAGCGATGCAGAGCTGGAGTCTCGACGCGCCGCGCTTCTGGCGCAGTTGCACGAGCACGAGGCGGACTGACGTCGCGTGACGCACGTTCGCACCTCCAGCGACGTCTCGCGCACGCACCGCATCGACTACCTCGCCGACGCTCACAGTCCCCGTCCTCCATTACAGATTAGCCCGGATGATGAGGTTGTAAACCGTTTCGATTTTGATGATTGGTAGGGGACGTCGTTTATTTCAGAATAAATATAGCTAACTGAACATTCACTATACTACATCTTTGTAGCCATTTTTCGTGTTTTGAAACCATAATATTTTATGCGGAATATTTAATGTATGTAATTTATTCTCTTGTCTACAAACCTCTGTACTATAAAGTGTCCTCTCTCTTATTATATTTTAAATTTCAGACTTTGGTGTAGAATAATACATAAGTTGATAACGTGTATATGAAGCTTATAATGTAACATACTCTATATGACTATTGTATTTTATCCAAACTGCTTGATTGTTGTTACACTTTCATCATGAAATAATGCACACGCGTGTGAGGGGTACAGCGAAGGGCAGAGTACCATGCCACCAGGTACTACTTCTCACCCAGAAAAGAAGTACTGTAGCCGAGGTATAGAAGAAAGCCTGTACGTGAGTGAAGCCGCGGGCAAATTGTAGTGTATAGTAAATATAAGACTTTTATTTAAGTAATATTGATATCTTCATTGATATCGTTTAGAAGTTATAAGAAATATATGTATTAGCCATATATGTTTTTGTATTATTTATAAACTAGTAAGGAAATACCAGGTAACCAAGGCTATGATTTATAACATTATAATCTTGTTGTTATTGCCAATAAATACATCGTGGGCAAACTTTAGTACTGTGGGCCAAGTGCCAGTTTATTTCACGACAGCGAGCCCGTTCGGCGTTGCGATTGGTCCGAGCTGAACTCTACACCAATCACAGCGCCGAACGCGGTCACCGTGACATCTAGTAGAAGTGAAATTAACTTACACTAGGCCCTCTGGACCGATTGAGACCTGTCTGGGCCAGGGATGTTAGACGTCTCATTTTTCAGGGTCTTGTACCATGTACCAACTAAATATTGTGTTGTACCAACTTTCTACATTGACCCATTGAGTAACTTACTTCAGATCAACTATATCAATCGAGCGAATTATCCATAGACGACGGTTATGATTTTGTCAGAAAACAATATAAAAATTCGGTCAATGTAATTCACGGTTGATTTTTATTTTTTTAAATAATGTATAGACATTTATAAGATCTAATAATAAAAACGTCAACGATTAATGAGAATTTTTATTGTTAATTTTTTATCAGGTATGATTTTTTTTTCCAATAATCAAAAATTTCTTCGATAATTCAAAATTTCATTTAAAAGAACACAAAATAAACGTTTTTGTTTAATTAATAATGGGGTTATTGTGAGTACCAACCTTTTTTTTCAAATACCAGCTTTTACAGCCTTTTAGCGACATCTGTACCAGCTTTGGCTCACCACAATCTAACATCCCTGGCCTGGGCTTTTCTAGATGAGCCTGTCTAATAGAAAATAAATAGAAATTCTCTATAATATTAAACAAAGTAGGTATTGTTTAAAATGATGTTTATAAAAAAGTTTAAAAATAGTTACCTAAAATTTCCATCAAGATAAAATTCTAAGATCATCATCCACCTTTTCGTTGAGACTATTCTTATGAGCTTAAAACTATATCGATTGTAAGTTTCTGAGTCAAGTCATTCTGATCTGTGAAAGTTAAGTAAGACCTGACCATTATTATTAGACACCTGAACAGACTTCGTAATATAGCTAAGCACCATAACGATCATGTCAGCTTTCAAGCAAAACATAAACATTATGATTTGTTTAATTGATACCATTACTTCGTTTAGGAGCTATAATGACACAGACAGACACGTCGAACTTATAACAGTCTTCTTTTTGAGTCGAGGGTTAAAAACAAAGTTCTGTTTGTAAGTTCAAGATAAGTCTATAAACAATTGAATGGGTTTAATGCTGTTTTCACTAATATACAGTGATTAACGAGAAAGGATAAAGGTGTATGTAAAGGAATATGATGATAGTTGTTGAAATTATCGGTAAAAGTCAAGCCGCTGGGGGGCTTTTTTAAACGCGGTTCTCACACCGATGATGGGAGTCTTATGCGCGACAATTCCATTTTTTTTATGTCAACATGAAACTCCAAATCATGAAAAATATTTAAATGATAAAAATCTCACCTGCAGAAATGCAAGGAGAAATATTATAATGAGCCCGGAGCATTACAATCTAAAGGCCCCAGTGATGGGCCATGCCTCGCAGTGCTCAATTGGAGGCCATCATCACGTAGATGTTCATACAATCGTGCATAGCTCCTTGTCGCCTGGCGAAACATTTGCGATAAACGTGTGGAAATAATTACTATTTATTTTTATAAGACTTACGGGAGCGATATAGTTTTTTTTTAAAAGACAAGTCTCGCACCAGGATTAATTATATCCTATGTCGCGGTGAACTTTACACATTTATAAACTTAAAACTCTCTTCATTGCTCATGGACTCGTCATTATCGTGGACCAATGAAGAGACTTTTATTATTAGCTTATAGCGGGCTCCGCCGCGTGTATGTCGGGTTCCGCGGTAGTATGTCCTTCCTCAAAAATCAAAGTGTGTCCATGCTTAATTTCATGAAAATCGATTCAGCTGTTAGCCGTGAAAGCTCACAGAGTCACAAATATATACAGACTGTGATGTATGTTTTAACGAATCTGTAAACAGCATATTCTGCACTTTATTTCAAGACGATTTGCAAAATATGAACAAAAAATATTCAGTGGTTTAGAAACAGGACAGTTTTTTTGTTTTCGTAATTTGCAACATCATGTGTAAATGCAGTCATAATACATTGATCTCGGGCGGCGATCAGCTGTATACGCGGCGGGTAATCACACTTTGCCGCTTTTACTACACTCGAATCGAACAAAATTTGTTGATTATTGCGTCATCAGGATGAAGGACACGTGTTTTTAATTAGTTTATTCAGTAAGTCTAGTCAGTCGGCCCTTGGCTATCGGCGAGTGTTAAGCTGTTCTGTGTCCTTGTAGATGCGCTCACGAAAAATTAGCGTAATAACAATATTGTTGTTGTTCGTGACATATTTATTTAGAAGAGTTTTGTTGTGTTAATAATTGATGAGTGAGTGATGACATCATCGTGAACACTAGTTTTGGTGTTCCACAAGGTAGTATTTTAGGGCCTACACTCTTCCTTGTCTACATGAATGGCCTCTGCCGCTTATCCATACAAAACTGCAAAATTGTTACGTATGCAGATGATACCGCACTGGTCGTTTATGATGATAACTGGGACGGAGTCCGATTCAAAACCGAGAGCGCGCTTCGGCAAGTGATGAAATGGTTGTCTGCAAATTTATTGACCGTAAATATTGAAAAGACTAAATTTGTCCGGTTTTGCCTCCTCCACACGAGGCCCCCTCCTCCTTGTTCTGCCACCATTGAGTTAAAACAACACTAGAGAAGCAAACCTCATTATCACACGTCGAAAAAAGTGTAACCACTTTTGAACTTTGACGACGTAGCTTTGATACCACTAAACATTTGAAAGTAAACATATTTATGTCTCATTTACACGCGAGACAAGAACAATACCATCGCTCGGATTAGACAAAGACAAAGATATAACTTTACGATGGTGGGCCAGTGTTGACTACCGTATGAAATTTTACCCATAACAACTAAGAAACAATTTTTTTTTAAAACAACTTTGTAATAAAATAAATTAATTTAAATATTCTAAATAATATATTTCGAATTGAATAGAATAGGTATAAATAATAAAATAACTGGAAATATTTGGTTAAAAGGGTTTATATTCAGTGTAAAATCAAACTGCGCTGTGAAGCATCAGTTTTGTATACAATTGTCTTTTAGACTCTTTTTTATAAGTTTGTGTGGATATTTTACTTTCATGATACAATCTTATTTTTACGTATGTAAAAATAATAGCATTTAATAATAAAAGTGAATGATCAACTTGTACTGAAAATAAATAATCCCCAGGGTGTATTGCAAATTCTATTATAATTTAAAAAACAATTTTTTTTTATTTTTATTTTATAAAAAAAATTATTTATGTTTATTTACTTTTTTATTTTATATTTTTATTTTTATGATAAACATTTATTATTATTATTATTATTTTGTACAATTATTATTTAAAATTGATAATAAATTACTGCGAGCTTGGCACTTCTGCCAAGCTCGCAGTGAACGTTCAACGGGTCCCTAAAAAAAGGGATCGGTCCAGCCCTAACAACTACCGTTCTTCCTATATTTTATTATTATTGGCAAAATGTTTAAAAACAGTATAAAGCATATTATTTCATAAATTATAAATTCTCCCACTAATGTGGGAAAACCAAAATGATTTTTTAATGGTAACACTGATTCTAAATTACAATTATCAGTGTTTTATTTCAATTATAGCCTTATTTACGATATTATCAATACAAAAACCATAAACTTACACGTGAAAAGTAATTCCGCATGATTTATTAATGTTTTGTGACCTTGAATCGCATTCTTTCATTACGCATTTAGCCATTTTGGCGATTGTTACTGTCATGTGTCGCTATGTTCAACTCGGTTGACGCCACATTGAATAATGAATTGACGTTTGCTACGCATATGCCTGTGGACATATGTGCAGTAGCAACGATTTTAGGCGATAATTACTCATCTATGTAAGTATTATATCAATGTCTGCCACAGTCAAGGCGCACACTTGCATGCTTCCTCATTCCTTGAGGTAGAGGAAAATTGAAAATTACATTTCTATTTTTCCTGGGAAAACGAAAACGGGCTTATAAATCAATTAACGTAGGTCGAAAGGGCTAATTGAGATCTATAAAATGAGATTCTTTTTATTTTGAAATTTTAATATCTGCAGGCTGGAACGTGCCCGGTAAACGACCGTGGGAAATCCGATGGCGCACGATTCGATGCCGAGCGCCTCCGTAACCGTCGTCGCTCGGCACGGCACTTGCGGCCGCATAACGGTATTCTTCAACCGACTTCGTTGAAAGGCGTATGTGCAAATTGTGTGATTGCCACAACATCACAGATTACCCCGTAAAAAATTCCGCATTATTAAATATTTGTTCCGATTGGCGTTCATTAAATTTGGCGGTATGCAAGGGTTGCGGGTGACGTGTCAAATGCGCTGTGATTGAATATTTGAAGGTCAAACTTAGAATGCAAGGAACCATAGTGATGGGACAGGGTGGGGACGTTGATATGAATTATTGATTTTATTTTATTTTTGATTGATTGATTATTGATCAATAATTATATCGATCAATGTTTATTTGATATTTATTAAATAACATAACAATGTGTATATATTTCTGTGCCTCCTGTAAAAAGTGATACAAATAAAAGATCAACACTACAGGAGAACAAAAACAAGATTTTAAAGAATCTACTTCGCGATCTAAGTTAAACTTGAGTACCTTATTTTGTAGATAAAATCATTCACTTTCACTGTACATTTAAATTTTTGTGGTAAATATTATAGTTGTAAAATAATTCTTGAAAACCCTGTGAGTTGCACCTTTTTCAATTCTAATACATGCTAAAATGAAGTGATAAATCATTCAAGAGTCCAGTTCACTTATGTTGCACCTGTAAGCTGTCTACGCTTAAATCGATATACATTAAGTACAAATATCTAATAACTTATTAGAATATGTTTGTTTACTCAGTTGCTCGAAGAAACAATAAAAATACTACCCTAAGATGAGATTTTTTTTACTTACCAATCCCCTGTTGTCAAAATGTAGCTAAATTGTATCAGTTTGGATTGGATGGATATTCGGATTTTTATTTATAAATTTAGATTCGAATCTGTTCAAAGTGATATGACTCTAATTATATTAATACTCATAATAAATTTGTTGAAAAATAATGTGAAAATTAATATAATCGCACTTATACCACGAAGCATGAAAAATAATGTGTGCAAATATTATTTCTAGAGGTCACAACTTGAAATACATCTATATTCAAGATATTTTTGCAAAAATCCTGGCAGTTATGCACAAAATTATCTCCGAATGTAAAAGAACGTGAGTTAGACAGAAAAAAAAAACATTTTTTTAATAAAATTTCTATGTAAAATCACAAAAAGGGTACAAATCAACTTAAATCACTCATCACAGGAGGCACAGTGTGTGTTGTTTGTACATTTGATTTTAAAATTTATATAACACAATTTTTTAAATGTATTAGCTTAATATGAATACGTCAAACAAAATCCTTAGGATCTGTCTTCTTTGTCTTCCAACAGCCTTCTACGGTTTTTCATAATATGAAGATTGCCTTCTGTGAAGTGTCTTGAGCAGTATATTTGGTAGAAAGACTTGACGAGTTGCGTCGATCCTTATCTTTTTCTTTAGGGCATTTAGGAAACCAATAATATATACCACAATAATACGCCACTATTTTTACAGTAAAAAAATCAAAGGATGACCAAACAAATATCGACCTATAAATCACAACACTATCGATACACGTGCTGTCATTAGACAAGGACAACTATTGTAATTTACGTAATGAGTGAAAGAGGCATTTGAAAAAAAAATCAACGGCTTATAATTGTTCTTACTTCGCACCAGTCTAAGCTGAACTCCGGTGCATTTGTAATAGGTTAACGTGCTATGAATATAATTTACTTACAGATGAAATGTTATGCTATCTTTTTGATAACTGAATGTCTAAGCTATGCCACACCATTTCACTATACAGGAAGCCATTTCTAACATCTTTTGATATAAAACTATTTTAAATTGTCAAGAACTCGGACGTGCTACGAGTCACAAACTTGGTCGTTACTATTGTCGTGATTCGTAGCATCACGTCGTATGCTAGCTATAGCAAGTATGTGTTGCGCGTCTCTGTGAATTTATTAAGGAGTAATCTGTGGTTCACATACATCTGATCCTCTTTGATGCACAGCATGATGTGCTGTCCTGATTATATTATACTATGATATAATCATCCAAATTGTGAGATACTATCATATCGTGTCCAGGCAGGCTTTTTTTTTTTTTTTTTTTTTTTTTTTTTTTTTTTTTTTTTTAAAAAGACAACGCCCGCATTAGGAATAAATCCTGTGTCGCGGGGGTCTTTACAAACATACAGGAAACGGACACAAAGAACACCCAGACTCAGAACAACAATTTGTGGATCACACAAAGTGGCGTTCCATGTGGGGTTTGAACCCACAACACTCGGTGCAGTAGGAAGCGGCGTGGCAACCGCTTAAACCACTACGCCATCCGTGCAGTCGATCGGTTTGATCGGTTTATTTGAAATTTGCTTACATTTGTATTATGGAGAAGAAGAATAAACAATAATAAGTTTTAGTGATGTGCCGGATATCCGTATCCGCGGATATCCAAGGGAGAAGAGAGATCCGTAACCGTATCCGCATTCGTGACTTTTTTGGCGGATCTTTCAATACATATTACATAGATGAAATTCTATATAGGTGATTTTGTATTCACTGTAAAACTCTTAGGTATGTGTTTGTAACACTGTAAACAGCAACTTTTTTTCTGGCCAACGTCAAAATGAAAAAAAATTGGTTCTCCATTCAAATGACCAATCAAATGTTGTTAGTTTGTATGGAGAAACAATTTTTTTCTTTCGTTTTCGGTGTTAGTCCAGAAGAAAAGTTGTTGTTTATAATGTTACTAATATGCACTTCAGAGGTTTTCAGTAAATTTAAAATAACCCTGAATAATGGTTATTAGGTAGCTATGAAAAACTATTGAATTCTGTTCTGATTACTTTTTATTTCTTAAAACAAATATTTGGTACCTTTGTATTGCAATCATTTATCGTACTACACTAAATCAACTAGGCAGGTCGTAGGTACTGAAAGAGCTATCTTTATAATGAGATCAATCAAGCATCTTTGTATTAGCTTATTAAAATAATGAAATATTTAACTATCAACGGCAAAGCGTCAAGTGGCGACAACTATCAAGGTCACGGGCTCCGATTGAGTAAGAAACTTAAGATCCGTATCCGGGGATCTTGACACCAAATATCCGTATTCGGATCCGTATCCGCGGATATACTTTGTTAACGATCCGGCACATCACTAATAACTATTAACCTTTTCAAATCGTCACCCCGACGGATTCCGGGCCATCTACGGCTCACAGTTGACCCTTTCGTGTGTGGTGGCCACGGTGTCCCTTTCCTGTTCCGGACATAACTTGAGTAAGTATGGTGCGGATTAAATTTACTGTTGAAATTTTTACATACATTCATTCTTCTTCATGTCTCTTCTTCATTTATTCTTCTATTGACTCTATGTTGGCACAAACATTATTGAAGGATTGACATGGGATTGTAATTATGAGTGTAAATGTACAGTTGTACAAATTTATAGTATATTTTTGAGTTTTGACTTCCACTTATAAATGTAACTAACTTTATGATTTAGGTGGGTAAGCTATTAATAATTTGAAATAAAAAAAAACAAATTGTATACAAAAACAACAAAACAAAACAAATTATATACAAATTGATGTTGTAAAAAAAAATGAAAATCACAAATTAGTTTTGAATTTTGAATAAATTTTACAATACTAATCAATAAATAAGAGATATTTTATGAATATGAAGCCCTAACTTGAGTTAAGGAGAATCCAATTCGTTAAATTGAGCTATGATTAGCTCGTAGGATTTAGTCGATTTTGTTTAATAATCGGTTTCCACCTTTCTAAAAAAGAACTGACGTTGTCATTTGTCACTGTCGCAGCAGTCAGTTCTCCGAAGTACAGGCTATTATTATTTGTAGTTTTATTTTGTCTACTAAAAATAGGTAGCGATCTGATGTGAGTGGAGAGTACCCTTGCTCAAGTATTTAATTTTGTATTATAATAACGTTCTGTATCGATATTCAAAACCTACATGATACACACCTATAACTTACTAATTTAAAAAATAATTTCTATTAAGTTCTTATCCAAAATTTACAAAACACAATTTTCAAGCTAAATAAAATCTACAATTCAATATAATATTATGAAGAGTGACATAGAAAAAGAAGCAGGAACATGGATTCTCAAAAGATATGGTCAGTTTTTTAAAACACAATTCCAGGATCTTGTTAACGTATCTAGTGATGACTTCTGGGAAGAAAATAAAACTGTTTTACCAATACAAGTGATAATGAAACCTAATGAGCTTTTACCGATCACCGAACTGGTATCCTCTGATAACACTTTGATGACTAAAGTACTGAGTGTGCTTTCATCCCTTTGTGTTGAGGTAATTGCTCTTAAAACAGAAGCTTTTGAAAAGTAAGTAAACCTCTGCCAATACTATACTATTACTATAAATCACATCCTCCAATTCACCTGTGTGTTTTTTTATGACTACCTTATTATTACCCTATTCTTAGAGGTTGTAGTGTGAGTGATGACAAACAGCCTATAACCAATGCAAAGAAAAATAACTCAAATCTGACTGATCTGATAATTTGATAAAAAAGTAAAATTTGTGATTAAATTCAATTTATTTAATAAAAAAAAAAAATAGTAGAATTAAATACAATAATTAGAGCATTTAATTTAAACAAAGAATTAGACAAAAACTCTTCAGATAAATGTGCAAAGATGAAAATTTTAGTTTAAGGGTTTGTAATGCCCTTAAATTATTGTTTAATGTTTGTACTACAAGCCTGAAAATTATATAATCATAACTTTATTGTAACCCCCTAAACATATTTATAATGAAAAGTTTTTGTATTGTATACAGGCATTTCACCTTTTTATCAGTTTATGAAGAATATAATAATAATGATATCAGTACATTGATGGAGTCTATATGTGCATTGAGTTCATTCACCACTCGCTGCGATGAAGTTTTACGTAACCTGTGCAGCCAAGTCCTTGCTATATTTACCAAGAGTGCCATTAATATTAGTAAGTTTGAGCTTTCTTCACCTTAAATCCTTTATCAAAATAGTAAAAGAATTTAAAAACCATTTGCAAATCCTTTGTACACGAGTTGTAAACCATGGTACCAACTTTAAAAAACTTTAACAGCTAAATTCAGAGTGCTCTAAGTGTAATGTTTAGCAAATTAAATAGCAGGATGCCTATGTATATACATGCAGTGGTACAGTTATTAAACTTCCTTTAGACAAGGTGTAAAATTTACTTCATACTTTCTTTATGCACAAAATTATATTATTATTACTTGTTTTATATTGCAGATGGCATACAACTCCATTACATAATTAATCATATCGGAGAAATATTCACTTTGCTTGTGTTATTGGAAATGTTAATATCTAATATATCATTGGCAACCAACTGGAACAAATATTGCAAAACTTTAAAATCTGTGAGCAGTACACCTGAAAGATTTGATTTAATGGAGGACCGATTTAAAGCTGTGATGGGAGCTACAAATAACATTACATTGAGGCTAATGAATGATGATATTGTACAGAAAAGTCTCCAGAACTTGACAGTTTTAAGAGGGAGCTTAGTGGACAAAAATTGTTCACTGGTTACAAGTGAGTTTACCCAATACCTTAAACAAGCTGTTGCAAATCTAGAGAAATTAGTCCAGGAGCAGCCTAACGTTGGCAATATGTATAAGTGTGTCAAAGTTAATGCTCTCTATGTTCTCACTAGTCATTTATTTGGCATCACAGATAAGAAAATATTTAGAAGCTTGATGGAACTAAATGCAAAGGTAACTTTATTTCGTATTATTAATTAATTCTATAAATTTATACTGTAGCTTGTATGTATGTAGCTTTGTATTATTTATTTATTTATTTTCTTTAAAAACAACTTTTTTATATTTGTGTTATTTATGTTTTTGTTAATGTCACAGGCTCACAGTGTACACATTATCGGGACAGCTATCTGGTACCCTGAACAATTCCTTCAGAGACATGTGCCATCACATTGTGCAAAATATGACAAAATGTTACAAAGCATGATCAAAGGACGTCAAGGCTTTATTACTACAAAGAAAACTAATTTGGCGAAGGATGTGATACTTCTGCATACTTTATGCACCCAGTGGGTTCTTAATATTGAAGAACTGTTTTCTTCTAAGCATTATAAACTAAATGCTGCAGAAATGAGTCTTCATGCGAAAACATTACTGGATGGTCTTAATATTGCTTCGAAAATAAATCATTCAGTCCTTACTTTAATCAATCTGCATCTTGCCCTTGGAATTCCACTACCTAAGAGTATGTTGATTTCATTATTTGAAATTATGTACATGCTCAAAATCTTAAAGAATGTTCTTACACGCAATCGAAATCAAATTATTATCTCAATAAATATGATTTTACAGCATCTTATATTCCAATCCACATCATCAATACTTGAAGTAAAAAAGTCTTTAATGACAGACAAGAACTATGCAAATAAGAGACTTGATGAGCTCACTTGTTTAGTGATAGCAGAAAGGGCATTAAAAGGTGCTGCTACCATAGAACGTAACATAGCTGCTAATATTGCCTTAAGTTTTGTACCAGACACAACTTACTTAGAAGACAGCTATACCAGATTAGGAAGGTTATTGGAAAAAATTCAGTTGTTAACAAACTATATGCAGTCAATGGATAACTTATGTGATTGCTCTTGGTTACTGGGGCATCAAAATATTATCCCCATTTATTTTGAACAAAACTTCAGTGTACAATTACACACCTTGAAAATAAAATATTTCTTGATGGTATTAGAAGACTGCATTGTATTTTTAAACAAAAGGGATAATCAATATGGAGTACCAAAAGCCCAACAATTTTTAAATACCATGAAGTCTTTAATCGAGAGCAAAGTAATACAAAGTGCAAGTCAGAATATAGAGACCAATTTACGACTACATATTCACTCACATTTACAGCTGGATGTAGTGAATCCTTTTACATTTGACATGACCAAGAAGTTTCTGCTTAATATAGACATTTTAAGAGTACAGTTCCTTTACATGTCCATTGTACCCTCTGTGGAGCATTACTTATCCACGATGTATTACAACTTAACGACAGTAGTATTGTCCGATTGGAAGACTTACGGAGAAATGCGCCAAATGGCTAAATTTAAATTTAACATCAAAACTGTGCAAGATAATCTACCAACACAAACCTTAGAACAAGGTTTAGATGTATTGGAAATAATGCGAAACATTCATATATTTGTTTCTAAATATTTGTACAATTTAAATAATCAAATATTTATTGAAAAAAGCAGTAACAACAAGCACTTAAATTCTATTAATATCAGACATATTGCGAACTCTATAAGGACACATGGTACGGGTATAATGAATACGACAGTTAACTTCACTTATCAGTTCTTGAAAAAGAAATTTTACATATTTTCTCAATTTATGTACGATGAACATATCAAATCAAGATTGATTAAAGATCTCAGAAACTTTAAGGAGAACAGTGAAGTCAGTGGGAATACGTATTCCTACAAAAATGCAGAGAAGTTTAATAAAGGCATACGAATGCTGGGCATAAATGATGGACAAAGTTTCTTAGATTTGTTTCGGGACTTAATAAGCCAAATAGGCAATGCCATGGGATACGTTAGAATGATAAGATCAGGAGGACGGCACTGTTGTTCTGATGCAACCATGTTTTTACCTGATCTTGAAAATGTGGAACCTTTTAAACAGCTATGTGAAGAAAACCAACTTGGTACTAAAACATTAGAGTCATCTGCAAATTTGGACAATAACATTAACGATCTTATTACAAATTTCATTCAAGGCACTGAATATTTCAAATTACTTGTTGACGTGTTTGCGCCCGTGTTTCGTAATCCCAAAAATATTCACCTAAAAAACTTTTTCATTATTGTTCCGCCTTTGACATTAAATTTTGTGGAGCATATGATATTATCAAAGGATAAAATCTCAAAGAAAAATAAAGTCGGCGCAGCATTTACTGATGACGGTTTTGCAATGGGAGTGGCTTACATTTTAAAACTACTTGATCAGGTAAGTGACGCTATACAATGTGTCTGGGTTCGGACTGTACAAACTTTGGGGGGTGATAGTTTGCTCCATTTTATCACTAAAATCATTCTACAGGTCGCTACGAAAAAGTCAACCAAAATACAAAAATGGCTGCCATTCAGAGGCCGTTGGGTTTAGACCCCACCTGTAGAATCATTTTAGTGATAAAATAGAGCAAACTATCACCCCCTACAGTTTGTACAGTCCGAACCCAGACACATTTTTGTTTCAATGAGGATTTTTTTTAGATTGTCTGCAAAAGTTGCTTGACCTTTAATTCATTGACTGCTTTCAGTAATAAACAAGTGAATATCCCAAGAAGTTATGATTTAGCCTAGCTTGATAAGTTTGTAATCACATTAATTCTCTAAAGTACAAATTTTACTAAGTGCTGCAAATGTGAATTAACTCAGAGCGCAATAACATATATCTAAATCGTCAAAAAATATTATAATAATAATTTATATTATAATTAATAATAAATTAATCAGTAGGTGACTAAATTATCATATTTACAAAATTTGAAAACAAAGTTTTAAAATTATTTTCATAATTTTGCTCCGTAAATTGATTGGGTAATTTTAAATTTATTTCCCACTTTTTTTAAGATGTCATTATGACCGTTTGATACGCTTTGGCGCTTAATATGCAGTCATAAGTAAGTTGTTTTTAATTTAAGAACATGTATACACTGAAATCACAAATATTACCTATAAATATTTAATATGTAATCTGTTCTTAGATGTAGATGTGCCACGGCTCTGCTTCTCTTAATAATAAATAATAAATTAAAACGTGCCGCTGCGTAAATAATCAAAATTACGGAAACAAACCATCCTGCATAGTCGTTTAGTAATATTGCGAACAAATACGCGCGAATAGCACCGTTAGTAGGTACTTATGAGTGGTAAATTACATAGTGTTCTATATTTACTGTAATACAGCATTGCTCTTTCAGTCACTTCGGTCACATCCCACAAAATTACAATTCATGTAAATTGCTTCTGATTAAAACTAAACTTTGTGTATTTGTTTAGTAAACATTTATCAAATAACAAATTAAATATTTTAAGGATGAACCTATAACAGAAAATCATTCATCAAATAACAAATTAAATACTCGTATTTTTAAGTATGTACCTACAGCAGAAAATCTGTTGGAACTTTTTCGTATAAAGTCTGTTACGCTTCATTGAAGTCACCGAAAATGTTTTTTTTTTCAGGATTCTAATTTTGAAGGTCTCCATTGGTTTGATTCTATCTGGAAGCACATCAATGATGAACGGAAAGTACTTCAGGAGCAGCAACATCGAGGTTCTCTACAGCTTCAACAAGCGTTGGCATTAACTGAGAAGAAAATAAAAACGTTAGAAGACGAATACAAATTATTATATTATAGTCTAACCAGTGCCAGAATATTTTTCAGATGAAATCGCTGAAGCTCGTTATAAAATCTTAAAGCCACATCGATCGTTTTACGTACTTTATGTACCTACACTTCTTCATATTACAATCTGAAATGATAAGTATAAGAATTATTCTAAGAATATATTTACGAGATCTGATCAAAATAACGGTGATTACTTTTAAATTATCAGCAAAGTAACGAACTTATATCATTTTTTTTAAATCCTTTTAAAGTATTTTCCTTTGCTAGCGATAAACTTATCTTACTTACAATCTACTCATTTTCGTTTTTGAGTCACTCATTCTACTTATAAACGCATCGCCATACGTTTTAACTTTTAATGAGGTTATTTGGCATGCTTTTGGAACTTTAAACAAATTTATTGTTAGCACGTTGCTACTCAAAAAATAGTCACCGTATATTTCAATGAGAGTTGTTAAGAAAATAATGTTTATAAGATATTACATAATGTTATCTGTATAAAAGGTTAATATTTATGACAATAAAATTATTGTTAACATATTCTTGTCAATCATTATTTGTAAAATCTTTTGTAGTTGAGGATGCGGGATGTGAAGTATGACAAGTTCATATTTGGACTACTAGTTACTATTCCATTTGTCGTTTAAGTTATCGAAAGTTGCTTGTTCGATAACTATAATTTTTACTTGACGTTTGAACTTTGTGGATACGTAATAATGTGGTATCGGCCACTTTTGTTATTGATGCTTTCTTTTCTTTTCACCATTATAAGGTTTCCTGAGAGATTGATTGTTGAATTAGTGATGCACCGATCCGATACCATCTTTTCGATGATCGGATCGTGGGCGTACAAACCAATCGATTTTTGGACCGGGTCGAAATCATGATCCAGACATTGTAATTTAGGTATGCTAATATTGGGCGGTCAATCTACGTACGATCTGGAACTTTATATTATAAATTTGAACAAAATTTTGGTACTTTTTACATCTTAACTATTATTGGTGAATGGATAGAGAGATGACAAGAAATAAACAATAAGCTTGTGTTTAATATTTCTAAGAAATAATGTGGGTGGGACGCGAAATTGCGAATATCTATGACTACGAATATTTTATTATCTCATTCATTGTTTCGTTGAGTTGCTTTATACAGAAATTCTAATTTTCTAAAATCAAGTGCGTGATTTAATTTTATAAAAACACTTGATGGAGTGAAATGTAAACTATTTAATTTTTAACATATCACAAGAGAAATAAAAAGTCATCACCCTGGTCCCTTTATCACCAAGTGTAAATACGACAGTAATTAATGTGATGTGAACAAAGCACCCTAAGATTGACAACATACGAGCCCTGATGCAAAATAGTTCGTCTAGTGTGAAATTGTCTCTGTGTGATTTTTTCTAACTTCATTATTTTTGTATATCTACATAAAATATTAAGCTGTTCTACTATCATATATCGCGTTACGTATGCCATTTTTTAATTATGAACCAATAAACTATTTTAGCTTTTTAAATTTATACAAATCCTGTTTTAAATTTGAAGAAGTTATAAGCAAAATAGTTCGTCTAATTGTTAATTAATGCAAAAGAGTTCGTCTATCGGTGAGTTCAATAAGATAATTCGACTTGTACAATTATGTTGCATAATTTACATTTGTAAAAGTAATTCTGTATCATTTGTCAAGTAAGACAGTATAAATTCTTAAAATTTCAGTATTTTTCATTAGTTTTTAAATAACAATGGGTCGTGGCAAACCCGTCTGTGAAGAGCTTCGAAAGCGAATAGTTTTTGGGGTCGATGCTGGCAAATCAAGTTACAAAATATCTAAAGACTTGATACTTCCCAGGTCTACAGTCCAATCTATCATTCAGCACTATAAAAAGAATAGAATGACTTCTTGTTTGAAGAAAACTGGTCGACCACGCATCACAAGTGCAGTAGAAAACAGAATCCTATAGAAAATTATCAAAAATAATCGTCGTGCTCGAGATAGAGAACTCACGGTGCAAAGGAAGGACATGATTCACAAAGACGTCTCATGATACTTGCAAAAGAGTCCTAAAAAGAATGGGTTACGGATTTTACACCGCTAAGGAGAAACCACTGTTGACTGCTGCACAAAAGAAAAAGAGGTTGAAGTTTGCTCGTGATCATTTAAATTGGACTTCCGATCAGTGGCGTAGTATCATTTGGAGTGACGAGTCCAAATTTGAAGTGACAGTCGGCGATGAAAGGAAAAAGTGATTCGGAACAAAAATGAGGCATTTCATACTGATTGTCTCAAACGCAAAGTGAAGTTTCCGGCGTCTCTTATGATATAGGGCTGCATGTCTGCACGAGGTGTTGGTGGTATGCAGTTTGTGGATGGTTCTATCAATGCTGCAAAGTATCAAAACCTTTTGGAAGAGAATTTACTGCCCTCTATTTCGTCACTTAAGCATCAAGATTCCTTCATTTTTCAACACGATGGTGCTTCCTGCCATACTGCAAGGACAACGAAGACGTGGCTACTTGCGAAAAGCCATCTAACAGGCGAATGGCCATCTAACAGCCCGGGCTTGCCGATCGAAACTCTATGGTGGAAAATGAAAAAAGTTCTCCGTAGAAATCCATCAAGATCGAAGAGCGACTTAAAGGCTAAACTCTTGGCTGTCTGGGAGTCAATTAGGCTTGAGGAGTGTGCAGCGTTGGTTGCAACCATGCCTCTTCGCATTAAAGCTGTCATTGAGAGCAAAGGCGACACAACTACATAAGTAGTAGACGAACTATTTTGCGTGAGTGACAAGGCTAGACGAATACTTTTGCGTTATGTTTTTTAGAATATTTTTAATTTTTTTTTGTGAGATGTAAAGTCATAAAAGAATTTCAGTTATGTTAAAATAAACTTTAAAATGTTCCTCAAATTGTGGTTTACTTTTTATTAAACGTTCTTAATTATTTTACCAATATTTACTTTCTATATTTTACGCTTTGCACTACTTTCCATACTAGACGAACTATTTTGCATCGGGGCTCGTATTCTTGGATATTAAGTTAAATACCCAATTCTTTTTTGTTTATAATAAACGCTTTGTTTGAAAATATTTTGTATGTTCGTGCAGTTTTTTAGATCGATGTCTAAGAATCGGATAAAATGCATGCGATCCGAGATCCTAGACATTACGGCCCACAACATCGGGTCGAGCTTAAAAAAAGCGCATCCCTATGTTAAATCCGTTAATATAATACTTTATTCATTAACTTACTTTTAATTGGAATTCGAATACGTATCAGTTTACTACAGTATGTATTTGAATTACTGCTTAAAATGTAATTGGGAAGTTGTTTCAAATACCTATCGTTGAGATATTTTGTAATTCATTATTTCAAATACATCTTTAAAACTACCACGGCTTCAAAATCCTTTTTTTTTACACCTACGTAAATTTATGATTTATCAATCTAATCTAAAGTCAGTAATATGGCAGGTAGAGGTAAGGAGAACCATTTAGGTGTATGAAAAAGTTTAGACTTTGTTATGGCGCACTTTTCAAAATAATAATAACATAGGCGAACGTCGATAATGAATGTTAGTGATATTATAAATAAATTAATATTTTAATATACCTACTTTAACTCAGCAAATCTCACTCTGTCGTCTGCACAGATAAAGGTAGTCTGTAACTGTTATGTTCGTGTCATTAATTCTGGCTGCACTAGCGCTATTCTAGTCGGTTTTAGAACCATCACTAGACTTCTTTGGTTTGCCGTCCATACAAGACAGTGCTCTTGACCTCTATCCTCCATACTCAGGAGCAAGAGTGCTATAACAATGATTTCGTTTTATTTTTTTCGTGACGGTAGGCAGCTATGAGCCCAACACGTAACAATAGAGTTAGTTTATCAGTAAAAAAAAACTGGGCGTAGCTTTCTAGCAAGCTACGTCTAATTTCAAGTCACCTAAAAGGGAAAGCCAAGCGACTTTCACGTACAAGTACATTCACATGTAGATACATCGAAATAATGTAGGTATATCATTATTAAAAATGACTTGGCATGGCATTTTGTACTGCCTCTCGGGAATTGAACTTTTTACCCACTAAAAAGTTGTCTAAATTTTGGAAAAAGTAATAGTCGGTAGGTGCAAGGTCTGGTGAGTATGGCGGATGAGGGAGAGCTTCCAACCCCAGCTCTTGCAGCTTGGAGACTGTCTGTTGCACAGTATGGGGTCGCGCGTTGTCGTGAAGGAGCAGTGGAAAAGACCGACTGACCAAAGCTGGTTGCAGATGTGACCACCAGACCTTGCACCTGTAAACCACTTTCTTCAAAAACCTGATACTTTCGTCGCATTGAAATTTTTTTGCAGAGAACTCATTCCACAGCCCGCGAGCGTCTTAAAGGTAACGATAAACGCCCTGTTGGAATGGTGCCGTACGACATGCGGCAGGTAGTAGTACCGTGGGCATCACAAGGAGACAGGTTAGGTTCATCGGTTTCGACGCCAAGCATTTCATTGAACCGAAAAAAGGCCCGAGCTGCTATCCGTGATTCCGCCGAAAGATGATATTAGTAAATACATACTTATTACGATTTAAAAACTGCAACTGATACCATCCCAAACTAGCGCTGGTCGTCACTGGTGCCTGGATCCGGGCTTTTGTCCCCTGCCAGCGGTGTTTACCGCTACTCCTAAACAGGGGTAGGTCATGGGATTACCTTGATGGTATTTGGTTGTTCTGTGGGGGACCGTTTTGACCTTCACGCACCCTGGCGATCAGCCCGAGCCGAGCTCCGAGTGATCAGCGACAGAGGCGGTGACTTACGCGCGCGGAACGGTGCTTGCGTCGCGATGTTTGGATAGCCGGTGAATTGTCGCTCGGCCGGAGCCGGGCAACGCAGAGGTCTCGCAGGTGCAAACAAGCACAACAGATTCAGCGCTGAAAACCAACTCCAGGGCAACTCCATGGAGTTGGTTTTGGTTGCGCTGTGGTCGACCCACAATTATATCAGCACTATTGTGCTTACTTTCCACCGTATTGGTGGAAGCACGTCACTGCGAACACACGGCCGGAATGGGTCTGGGAAGCACGGGTAGGTTCCGTGCAGTGAGCAACGATCTCAGAGGCCTTCGGAAATCTTTGGGCACTGCAGCAATGTTGCTTGGTCGACGTGCGGGCGAATCCTGTCCCAAACGGCCAACTCGCTCCGCTTTTATATTTTACTAGAAAGATCGATAGTCCGTTCCAGACAAAAAGAATATTCCAGAATCAGTCATGCGTTACTTGCAGCGCCATCTAGCGCTTTAAGGATCAGAACTACTCGTATCAACCACAATCTTCATAGATGTACCATGTAACCATTTAATCCAATGGCGCAACAATAACATGGATCATAAATAATTATTTATAGGTTTATTTATATCAATATATGTGTATAGATGAGTTATGTAACATTCAACTAGTTTAGAATGACTATACTCTTTGTTCTTCAATCAAACAATTCAATGAATCATAAATGTTCCATACCAAAATCCCACCCTTAGTGCTTCTAATTTTCAATTTTTATTAATGAAAGAAACAAAATGTGTAATGAAGATATAATTTATTTCCTTAGAAACAAATAAGGACTATTTACATAAAAAATATTTACATGGAATCATTTGTACTAGTTATAATTTGGTGCATTTGCAGAAGGGCTCCATATTCCATTTGATTTTCTAAGTATTTGGCATACTTCATAATTGAGTCTCCTGCACCTTCACCTTGTAGATATGAAAGGAGGCGCTTCATAGCTTGAAAGGCATCCATTCCAGAGGTAGACTGGCAAGCTTTCTGGCTTAGTACTTCTATAGCTTGCATACTTTCATCCAACTGGTCACAATAAACACATGGTAATTTCTTGTCACAGTAAATATATTTATCTAAGGAACTGGGATTTTTGTCTACATTTAAAGATACATTATATTGTTTACACCACTGTAATATACTATGATCATTGTCATTGTCATCTTCGACATTGAAATAAAGATTTCCTTCTGCAGGTGGTAGACATAGACTCTGTACATACTTCTGTGGTACACTGTGCCAAGCATTACCTATCATGTGTAGATAATCGAGAAATGTGCAATTATCTTTACCATAAGTCAAAGTCCTGCTAATTTGTAATCTTCTGTAATGATATTTAAAACACTCCACTATTTTTTCTATAATCAATCTGACATAATCCAGATCTGCACTCCTTACTATTATAATGTTTTCAAACTTTAAACTCTGTGTTAAACTTTCAGGTACATCTAATACCAACCAAATATTTTTCCCTTTACTTGATAACTCATTATCCCATTTTGTTAAATATTTTATAATAACAGAATAATTTACTTGTGAATGTACACAATAGTAATAATTAACCGGTAGGCTCTTCACCTGTGACTCTAACTCCAAAAGTTCTCTGCCTACAACTGCAGCTTCCCGCATGTCACTACCCACTGTGTTAACAACAAACAATAATGAAACATAACTATCTACATTTTGGCTATTCAAGTAGCTGTTGTAGTCTAGACTGTAAGATAGAGCACAAGCACCTCCTATATAAATGTCCCTTGTGTCTGCACTTTTAAGAAATCTTGTCCAGTTTTCTTTGATCATGTTGCTGCACACATCGTGTGACATATATTTTGATATATTGTGTCTCATTTGAAAACTTAATAACCAATCATTAATAAATGTAAATTCTTCATTTAATGGCTTCAATATTTCTAGTGCTTTATTACGTAGTTCATCTTCAGTAATACTTTTCCCAATTTTTAATTCCTGCTCAAACCAATTCAAAAGCTTTTGTTCCAGGTTTAAATTACAGACTTCTTTGAGTAGACTATGTTTCTGTGTATATTTCTTCGAGATGAAGTCTTTCTGTTTGTAAATATAAATAATTGTTTGTGAGTCAACTCCATATTCCCTTGCTATATCAGCTTTACATTGCCCATTATCAAGAGCTTGAATAATTTGCAATTTAGTTGTGATATTAATTTTTGTATGAGATTTTACAGGGTAATCTGTAATAAATCCCGACTGGTCTTGAACATCAATTTTAAGTCTGGGTCTCCAAATGGACATACTTCACTGTGTAACTTATCCTTGAAAAGTAACTTTTACAAGAATACAAGAATAAAGATTTTTAATGTGTATTTAATGATACAATTCCGCGTAAAACAAAAATTGATAAAAATTCTTAACTCTAATCTGTCAAATTTGACAATATATTTACGAAAAACAAACGGGGTTGTAGATACCTAGAGACACCAAAAATCGATACACGTTTGTGTAGAGTACTCCTCTTTCTTTGCGATATTGAAAACATGATTACTTTTCTTTACTATAGTTTGATTATGTTAATAAAAATCTTATTAAATAGTTTATTTTCAGTTGAAGACTTAAAGAAAATTTATGATTTTAAACGTTTGTTTTTTGACGTAACTTTATGCCATTTTTCATTGATTAATAATAATTATTTCTGAGAAATACAAACAAAGCTGATGACTCTGGTATAAGGTAATTATTGTCCCCAAACGTAAAGAAAAAAAAAGCTTGTTTTAAAACTGATTAATACTTATATTGATTAATAATCATATTTTTTCAAGTTGCCCCCATAAAGACCTCTAACAAACCTGACATAACTAAGCAGCTTTAATATTCTTAAAAAGTCACAAACTGCGAAAAAAGAAGTATTTCCTAAAGGTGTTCAATATGTCATAAAGATTTCCAACGATGTTTGCGCATAAAAATCCTGAAGCTTTTAGTGAGTATGCGGAAACCTGTAGGATTGTCTTTAGTAACGCAGATTACGGGATTCCAAACCATGACACTTAAGTAGGTACGTATGGTAATAAAAAACGGATGGTTTTGATTAATTTAGATTAGCTGTTTTTGATATCAGTGTTTAATTTATTCTGTATACCGTGGCTCAGATAATGGTAAAAGTAGGTTAAAGCTTCCAGACCAGTGACGTCTCGCGACTGACTTCGGTCGCGCCGACTTTCAGCTACGAAAAATAGTCCAGCTTGCGAGCGTTAATTGAACGATGGCAATTCAGAATTTAGTTACTTATTTAGGGTCAGTATTGAACATACTTATTGTTTCGTTTCGTGAAGAGTAGGTACTTAGAGTGGAAATGGATATAGTATTAGAACTTTCACTGTTGGAAAATTCTGTTTCACAGATTCATGCCATCAAAAGGATGAGAAGAAAAAAAAAGATTCACGGGCGGTTATGAAATGATTCTATTAAGTCTCCTCAGTTGCAATTCAGGCCAATTGCAATATTAACAGCGTTGTCAAAATTATTTGAACGTATTTTTAATAATAGACTAACTCAATACTTAGAGCATAACAATCTACTATCATCGCATCAATATGGCTTTAGAATTGGCCGCTCGGCTGAAAACGCAGTTTTTGACCTCGTCAACTTTCTTGTTGGTAAATTAGACAACAAGAGTAAATGTTTAACCATATTTCTTAACCTTGCAAAAGCCTTGACACTGTCTCTGTCCCCAACCTGGTACAAAGGCTCGAGGATTTTGGTATCAGAGGCACACCTGCATCATTGATAGCTGACTACTTAAATAATAGAACCCAATGTGTAAAGGTAGGACAGTATTTCAGTGATGTACTGCCAAATGATTTTGGGGTGCCGCAGGGCAGCATTATGGGTCCAACTCTCTTTCTCTGCTACATCAACGAGTTCAGTAATTTAAAAATTAAAAATTGCCGTATATCAACATATGCAGGTGATACTGCTCTTACGTTTTTCGCTGATTTTTGGAGTGAACTTTTTGAAATTGCTCAAATTGGATTTAACACTGTGTGTCACTGGCTATTATCAAACTCACTTACCCTTAATGAAAGTAAAACTAAATACATTAACTTCTCAATACAAAACACAATCGATATAACAACCCACAACCACAATATTTTTGCACATAAATGTAACTTCCCACCAATAGCTACTTGCAAAATGTGAGCCGATACGAACTTATACTACATTTGCACAAAGATTTTATATGTTCCGTGGATCTAAGTTGTTTAATAAAATAAATAAATTAATACCCATAGTGAACTGTACAAAGATAGAATGCAAAACTAAAATACAAAAGCTACTTCTCAATCTAAACTATTTAGAAACAGAAAAGTTGCTAGAGATAGTGGCGGAGTCAGTCTTAAACTTAATAATTGTATACACATATATATATGTAACACACACGCATACACTCACACACGCACACACACACACACACGCGCGCACACACATGCATGCATATAAATATCCACGCTCAAAAACAGCATTGTTATTATTACTGTGAATTCATTTTGGGGGGCCTGGAGCTCTAAAATACAGGCCTAGGCTTAGTTTGGACTCCAGATCGCCCACAAATTACCAATTAAGCTAAATAATTGACAACTTAAATATGTAACAGTTATTTTTTAGTATATTTGTAATACGTACGGTCTTGTTTAAAAGCGACACCTATTGGCTGCGTCGCAGTATTGTTGATTTATCTAAAGTAGTTTATAACTACAGTATTGATCTTCTTCGTACACTGTCAGACCACTAGATGGCGTTTGTTTCTGGATAAGTCAGTTTATTGATTTGTCGTGACAAATTGTATAGGTATTGAGAGTGTTTTGCTATAGTAGAAAGCGAGTTACTTTTGACTTTGCTCGTGTAATCCTTGTCGATAATTTAAATGTCAAAGTAAAATGTTGAGTAGGGTTAATTTCTGGAAGCTTCGGGAACCGAAGATATATAAGTCCGGCTTTCAGCCACGGGAGACACTCTGCTATCTCGTGTCTTCCAATCTTAAATAGTGTTTTGATTGTTGTGTGATTTGATTTTCGTAATATATTATCTGTTCAAAAGTACCCACGAGAGTGGCGAGTATGGTCTTAATTCTTTTTTTACCTATTTATTTCCGGAACCTGATTAATTATATGAGTGCTAATCCATTCGTAGGGTCCCAGATTTCGGGGTCAAGACGGTCAGTCTCAGACGGCGTGCTTGCTCGTTTGTGGCCTTCTGGTTCAGACTCAAGTTTCTCGGTACCCTCTGGCAAGCTGGTGATTGCGCGGCTCACGACGCAAGCGGACAGCCGTACCCAAGGGTTACGTACTTACTTATAAACTTATAAATGCAAATTGTTGAACTTTTATCAATATCTAATATAAATAGCCGACTCGGGCGGAAGAGGAAGTAACCTCCTGGAGTGAAGACGAGGAGGCACCGAGCACCATCAGCTCGGCTCTGACGCGCTCCGCTGCGGTTTTTCTTATACCCTCTGTTTTTTTTATTGTAACCTTAATTTTGTTTTTTTTAATATACATGTATGTATGACTGAGGTGTAAGTTGTTTTTCTCTAAGGGGTCCCATAGGTATCCCACACGCACACACTTCTGTTTATTAAAAGGCGCCCTGAGGTAATCTTGTGAATCTCTCCACTGGGTCAGCCGGTGAGTAGTCCGCCTGATAAGAAAAGCGGCTACAAATATTAAGATTTGTGTAATTTGTGGAGATAAAATAAATAAAATAAAAAAAACTTTAGCGACTGGTTGCTGCAAGTCTCGCGACCACTGGTCGTCAGTCGCGGGCACGCTGCCGTTCAGTTCTATACGTTCTATTAAGTCTCACCGCAAGTCGGCGCGACCGAAGAGTCCCGCGTCATCGCTTGCACGCTGCCCGAGCCCTTAGAAAAATGCTTATGACCTTCATCTTTGGCATAATCTTCATCTCTGTTATTTAACTGGGTCCGTAATGCTATATCAGTAATTCATGACACTGTGAATACGTAATTGAAAACGTCAACATTCCCGGATTTGTAACGATGAAATTATAACCGATTGTTTAATTACATCCCTGGTGTGGCCGCTTACTGACAGAGGGAGGGAGTGAGTGCCGATTGTAGTTGTTCACAACTACAATCGGCACTCCCTCCCTATAAGTAATTTAACAATGACAAGAAAAAAGTCTACCTCTTCTTTTTACCTATTGCTTATTTTGAAACACCAAATGTTTTAGAAATTAAATCTATCATTTTTTTTGTCGCGGTCGGTAGTTAGGTAATGCAAATAACCTTTGAGGTGCGAGGCCCCTAGAGCCGCTTTATAACCTTATATGTTCCTTAGTCAAATTTAAAAGTTTAGGATGGCAACTCGAAGTCTAGGGCCTCAATTCTGCTATTTTATGTTCACGCCAAGCCACTGTCATACCACTGACTGACTGAAAAATAAATAAATCATTTCCTTATAATTTGAAAATATATTATGTTTTTTTTGAGGAAATGATTTATTTATTTTTCCAAATATGGCAATCTTTTTGATATCACCATTGATGAGCCACTGCCATTCCATCGCCACTGTAAATACACTGAGTTAGTGTAGACTACCGATATTTATACCTATGCCAATGGCCACTCGATAACATCTCAATAGCGTGTCAGTAGTATGACAGTGGCTTGGCGTGAACATAAAATAGCAGAATTGAGGCCCAGTATTGTACAGGTACCTAAATCTTTTTTCGAGAACCTTTCTTTGTAATGTTATGACATTTATCTATAAATTGGAAATCTCCAAAATTTTAATGAGTCCAAGCTGCAGACAAGTTACTTTACTATAGCTGTAGCTAAGTGAGGAGCAGGGCCGCCGGGTGCGGATGTGCAAAGCGTGCAACACACAGGCGGCATTTTCAGGAGGGCCGCAAAAACAGAAATCCAAAAAAAACGAAACATTCTCACAATTTCCTTGTGCGCAAGATCAAACATGGAGAAGGCTATTATATTTGCTGAACACCTAACTCGAGTATTTCAACCATTTCCTGAATTAAGGCCTGAGCACAACGCTGAAATAAAAAGCTATCTGGAAAGTGCTGAGCAAATGTGTCTCCCATTGAAACACACGAGTCCTACTGAAGTAGCACGTGAAATTTAACACCTCAAGGATGGCAAATCGCCAGGATACGACAGTATAGACAGCGTTCTGTTAAAACATCTACCTAAAAAGGGTATGGTAGTAATCGTTAACATTTTCAATGCCTGCCTAAGACAACCACTTTCCAGGACAATGGAAGATAGCGCAGGTCATAACGATACCTAAACCGAATAAACCACCTAATGAAGTAGCTTCATATTGAGCTATAAGTCTTCTACCTTTACTAGGTAAACTTCTCGAGAGGATCATAATGAACAGGATAAAGGTGCACTTGGATGATATTATTCCAAATCACCAATTTGGATTCCGGGAGAATCAGGGAACAATTGAGCAAGTACACCGAATCGTCGACGTTATAAGTAGAGCACTGGAGGAAAAGAAATACTATTCAGCAGTATTTTTTGATATAAGCCAGGCCTTTGACAAAGTATGGCATGAGAGCCTGTTATACAAAGTTAAGCATTTTTCTTTCGCATAATAAAGTCCTATCTCAGCAAACGGTGTTTTGAAGTAAAGCAGCATGATGAACTTTCAGACTTATATGAGATTAAATCAGGCGTACCGTAAGTTTACTGGGCCCAATTCTCTACATAATATTTACTGCTGACCTACCAACAACAGACAGGACAACGATCGCAACAAATACAGCTTTGCTATCCATACACACAAATCCAATAATTGCATCAGAACACCTACAACATCACATTAATAAAATAGAGGACTGGCTCAAAATTTGGAGAATTCACACACAACAGATTGCCATGGAACAGATTTAGTAAAAAATAATAATTGCCTTGTCTAATATATTTTTATTATGTCATCTATACAACATCTATTGATGCAAACGTTTAATATACGACACTTAACACGCTGGCAGGAAGAACTGCGCTAACTCCTTTTGCGAGCAAAATTATGCAAGCGAAGAAGAGGGCGAAGTGAGACTGGGAGGGGCTTAGAATCCTCTCCCGGACCGCCAGGCCCGGGAACGGACCAAGCAGGCGGTCCAAGCGCCGGCGATCGCTTAATGATCTCCGTCCTCCATAAGCGCATGCTTCAGGTGATAGAAGGCAGGGAAGAGAATGACTCTGGGTCGGTCGGGTTTTCAGGCTTTCCTTTTTAGGTTCTACCTTGTTCACCGGCTACCCGCCGAGTGTGCAGAGTGCGGTTTTAAGGCTGGCGCTGACCTACCGAAAGGCACGGTAGGGGTATCCTTCGGCAGCCCGAAGGTTGCTTTGGTATGAAGCAGCATGCCAAAGCAGGCCGCGTCACGTCGTGGCATCTCCTAGAATGGACAGCCACTCAGATTTTATTTCTGATCAATATTTTTTTATCCGTATTTTAATGAGTTTGGAAATCATTTTATATATACATTTATACTGCGGCACGTCGTAGCATGCGGCGGGACGCCGCAGCATGTCGTATTATGCGCATCCCGTGAGCCACATGGGTTACAAGATTATGACAGCCAAACTAATAAAATTCACAACTAACCTACCAGTTGTCCGATGGGTGGTATTCGAAGGGCGATTTCTGCACGAAAAAGGGCAGCTTCATTAGCATTGCACGCGAGTGCTCTGCCGAGTGCCCTGGTGAGGAGTTGGGTATTCTGCAGATTCACAGTGATACCACGGTACATGTCGTTGTAATACCAAAATAAGCGATTGTGCCCATGTTTGAGCTTTTACTGAATCATTACAATGGGCACTTAGATTTAGTGACTATCATTTGGAGAGCTACAACAAAACAGAGAGATCACGAATGGGTACGATATTTTTACAATAGGACGAGGAGGATTTATTCAGTCAGTACTTCAGTTACAAAAATAGTCTTTATTAAAACCTCTTAACTATTATAAACTTACAAACAAAATTTTACTGCTTTTTGAAGCTTTTCAATATAGGATAAATATTGTCAAATGCCTCGTAGATTTCTTCTCTTACTTTAGCACCAGTCAGGACAACTTTTCCTGAGACAAAAATTAATAATACTATTCTAGGTTTTACCATTCTGTATATAAGCCCAGGGAATAATTCAGGTTCATAAGAACTAAACTGTCCATGTGTGAGTACTAGGCCTTCAAGTCGAATTGGGAATTTTACATCACAGCTTCCAACCATATTTTGTATCTTAAAGTCTAAAAACTTAGCCTGAAAAAATTTAAAGAAAATATTTATTATTAACCTGTATGTGTAACTACATTAGGTACATTTATCGCAGTTAAAAAAATGATATTATTTTAGTAAATCTAAATCTTTTATCTATTTTACGTTCTTATACATACAAATATATTATGTCAGGTAGAGCAAAGTTCAATGAAAGGTATGAGTAGTTTATATTTGATTGTCGCAAACCTGCTTAGAAGTACAGGGTTCTCTGAACCGTTGCACGCGACTGACGACGTGTGGAAACGCGTCGGCTAGAGCGCTCGCCGCCGCCCGGCCGCTGTTGGTTCTCAGGACGCGGGCGCATGGCGTCAGGTAGTCATTATTGTGAATGGCGCTGCTTGGACAATCATGTTTGTAGTCGGAGCAAAGTGAACGAAAATATATTATCGTTACGAGAAAAACTGGAAGATGAACTTTTTGAATTTTCATAAAATCACCGACCGACAATAATTTGTTGTTCAATACATCTAACAACACGCGTCAGCCGCCCGTCGCATGCGGCGGACGGTCAGAGAACCTTGCGCTTTGGAGAGCTTACGTACGTACGGTACATAGTATTTGTTGGGGATTGAAATTAATGAGCTGTTGCTTACAACTTGGTAAGGTGTCTCATTTTAAATTAATGACAACAACAACAATAATATCTATTAAGGGCATAAAAAGGATAGTTACTGTAAATCCAAGTTTCTGTATAATCCTAGCATATTTTCTTGCTGCTAAGCGAGAGTCTTCTTCACTCTTAGCACCAGTGCACACCATTTTTCCTGAGGAGAATATTAGAGCAGTTGTCCTAGGTTCTCTTATTCTCATTATAACGGCAGCAAATCTCTTTGGATTATATTCCGCATTTCTTGCATGTAGAGCGATTTTCTTTAAATCTAATTTACAATTAAGGTTCACCGTAGAGACAATATTTCTGAAAAGAATTGAAGTTTTTGAGATGAATTAATTTGACCATCTTTTAAAAATATTATATTATATTTAAATTTATTGCTGTGAAGCTGTGACATCTTATAGGAATCAAATACAAACCTTGGCTTGGCAAATAGATAGAGCCTAGCATTTATTTTCTGACTGATTTTGTATTAAAATTTCTGGATGTCGGTATGAAAAATAAAAACATTTTCATTTATATAAACAAAACTACTTGTATCCGGCTTTGCTTCTCTGTGGAACATCTTGATTGCATTGATGAAAAATGAAGAACAGAACTGACATGAAACTAATTCTGAGTTGACGAGATGAAAAAGGATTTCAAATTATTAATAATCTACTCTAGGCAGAACACCCTAATACAAATTAACTGGTAGCAAAATTACATGGCAGATCTGCCATGGCGAGTAAAGTTTCAGATGCCAAAGGTAAATTGTGAAAGGGCATTAACCTTATGAATACAGCTTCTGTTGAGATAGGATAGTAAACACAGCTATTATACAAAACAGTCTTAAATGTGCTAAATCTTAGATGCAATTTCACTGTTAGCAATTATAAGTAGTGGAGATGAGAGAGGGATTAATGCTAGTAATTATCTTCCAACACATTCAGAGGAGGACATACAACGACAAGATGTCAATTATCAGTTCAGAAATTGAGGACATGGATAAAACAGCAGTAGGTCATTTTGATGATGTTGTAAATCAGGCAATCTTCCCACTTCAGTATAAAATTACAAATTACACTTACTGCAATTGTGGGAGAATGCCAGGGTCAGCTGAGTGTGGAGTCATAGGAGTTAATGGTGCTGGACTAGCTTGACTGAGCATCTGCTGACCGGCAATGCTTCCACTCGTAATCATTGGTGACATCAAGTTTTGCTTTATAATCATATAGATATGTTAATATGAATAATCATAGTTAAAAAATAAAGTCAGAACAATAAATTATGATATTTAAATTACAATAAATATACAATATATACAGTTATAATCCTTAAAAAATGCATCCTTAATATAGAAATTGTCATCATTGTTTTTCATTTTACCTGTAAGTATGGTTTTACTTGGTTATGTGTATACTAAACTAGGGTGCTTGTTCATATTATATAGTTAAGTGCCTACTTGAAAAAACTGCACTAGTTATTAATATTTGACCAATTTTAATTTAATAAAAATACTAATGGTTTAAAAGCACTGCAGCTTTTGAATATGTGACAATCTTACAAGTGTATACATTATACCAGATCAGAGTACATTACACCAAACCAAGAACAATATTGTAAGTAAGAACAATATCATCATCCACAGCCTTTAAAAGTCCACTGCTGGACATAGGCCTCTCCTTGGAAAGGAGGTTTTAGCCTATTATAGCATGCTGGCCAGACGTGTTTTCTTCTTCAATAATACAGTGTAAACTAATTTTAGTACTAATGTTCATTACCATAACTGTGAGACACTTACTGGGGTCTGCGGCTGCATCATCTGTTGAGGGGTTGCATAGCTGGGGGCAGGAGCATAGGCATGAACCGAACGCTGAGGAGTACCTAGTCCGAAGCCAACTAGTGGAGAGGACATCGTAGCCAAGGAATGTTGTTGTTGTTGTTGTTGATGTTGGTGTTGCTGTTGCATAGCATTTGGCAAAATCTGTTGGTCCTCTTCAGGTTGATGTAAAGGCGTACCTATACCAGGTATATTGTACGGACTTGGTAGCATTTGATCCATTTTATAAGATTTGTTTTGAAACTTAAAGTATGTACTTATGGGGTACAAAATTGTATTTATTGACAACGGTGAATTCTTCTGAACCGTTGATTATTATCACTTAATAATCACTATTATGTCTTAAAGATGTAGCACTCAGTACTATTTCTTATACATATCTTCAGTGAACACAAAATCAAAAACACAAATTGTCAAAGGGTCAACATTTTGACATGAGATTTGACATTACCAGTTACCACTATGAATATTGGAGTGTAGTGCATAGTAGAGATGTGTCGTATTTATTAGAACAGATCCGACGATTAGGTATTTTACGAGATTAGGCTGCACCTAATCCCATTTTGTCAATGTGTATAATCCACCTGTTCCACCTAATCTTCGTATTCTTAAAACATAAAATCGAATGTTCAGCATACGCCATACCTGTTCCTGCACTATCTCACTCACTTACACGTTGCAACGTATCTCACCATCCCGCTACACATCTAGAGCCGTAGAAAGCGAGACAGCGCTATACAATGGATACCTTATTGATCCTTCTTTCTTGCTCACTCGCAGCAAGTGTCATATGTTTATCAGATTTGCGTGGGAGAGCATGGGCACACAACAGAAACCAGAAAGAAGACCAAATTCGTACAACAGTTGCATTCAGGGATTTAACTATACACTCGTAAATACATCTCGAGACTTCAGCCTAATTATGATTAAATTATTCTAGTTTTATTTAATAATAGTTAGACATACTGTACGAGTAAGTGCCGGTATTTCACGTAATAAGATAAGTTTCTTGTCAATTTAGAAGAACTGATATTCTGTTTGCATATGTTTTGTGGCTTTTATTTTAGGTAACAGTTGAAAGTTTACGCAGATTTTGAATAGTGTTTGACTGTTTGAGTACCGTGACCGTGACCTCAGTTCAGTCACGAGCGAATTTGTTTTTTTTGAAATCTATACCTAATTTTATTATGTTGTGTTGTGTACTTTTTTCTTAGTATTTATAAATTAGTAAAAATGGCCCCAAAGGGAAGTAGTATCCAAGAGTAACTTCATACCTTAGTAAGATGACACTCCTAAGCCTGTAATAAGTATGAAGGAAATATACCAATTCATTGAATACTAATTATATCTATACAAATAAATAAAACTGAAGTGTCTGTTAGTAATATCAAAATAATAGGTTTTTTCATGCTCACACGATTATTTGCACGATACCTATGCCTAAAAACCAGTTTTTTTTTCGTCTGTCTGTCTGTTTGTTCCGGGTAATCTTCTAAACGGCTGGACCGACTTCGATAATATTTTACTGTCAGTAAGCTGTCTATATAAGGAGTAACTTAAGCTATTTTTCCTCTCAGAAAAATCCCTTTAAAATTTTGGCCAGTCTGGGAATCGAACCCACTAAGGCAGCTCATTTCAAATTCCACGCAAACGAAGTCGCGGGCACCAGCTAGTTATTGAATAAATAAGATAATTTATTGTTCTATTAAACTGTTTTAATTAAATACCATAAACTATAAAATATCATATCATAATAAAATATCATAAACAATACTTCACAGTTTGCTAATATCTAATCCTAATCATTCAAATAATGATCCAACGATCACAGTAATCATATCCTAATATCGAACTCAGAACTTGAGATTAGGAATAGGCAGGTAAAGACTGCAGTAATGGTTTGTGAATGTGATTAGATTAGGAAGATTAGGTATTGGGATTAGGTATTTCTCAAGATTAGGAACAGGTGTAGTGTCACTAGGTGCATTAAGACAAAAACAACATTTAAAGTGTAGTGTAAAATTCTCTCTTGCATCTCCTATCTATCTCCTTCTTATTTGCCGCTATACATGCAGTTAGAGAGAGAGAAGGCCTCTCTCGCACCGCTTGACAGCTCAAAGCATTAGGTTAGGTGGGATTGACGTGCTCTATTATTTTTATTTTTTTAATAAAACACGGTAAGCAATATTTATATATATATGTAATTGTAAATACGTTAAAAAGGATGATTTGAAATCGCTTTAAATAAAAGCTGTTAATTTATAAATTCTGGTCCCACTGGCAACTTTAACCAAAATGCGGCAAGACGATCGCATTGTTCATAAATTATATAAACAGATATTAGTATTATATTTTATATCAATATGCTACCACAACCAACAACAACAAAACCAGGACCAACAACCGTTGGGGAAAACGAGTTCTTGAGTGGAGACCGCGTCTCGGCAAACTTAGTGTAGGACGCCCACAGCACGGTACTATTATAATACAGTAGTGTAACTCAGCCTCATGATAGAAATAAATGCCTACAGCCGCGCGGTACGTAAACATGCGTTAGGGCTGCCCGTCTCCAGCATTTTAATTATATTTGTCTACTTTCTGTTTCTATTTAGATTTGTGATTGTAAATATCCTTTTTATATAAATAAATGAAATACTTTGTATATTGAATAGGAAGTGTTCAATAAAAATGCGTGTTGTTTTTTGATTGGTAGATTTAATTATTTTATTTTCTTTCTGCATTGGAGGAGTTCAAGTTTCAATTTTCTTTTTCTTGGAGTGTTGCTAGAGAGACTCGTCGAGGTTTGAGCAAAGATTTCATTTGTTGCATTTTCAGTCTGTGTACTATTTTCATTTCCTACCAACGGAGCAGTTTGGGTTTGTTTATCTTCTTTTAGAGATACTCCTGGATCAGTACTAGCTAAGCTTGGCAGCATCAACAATGGTAGGGCATTCTTTTTTAAAAGTTTTCTATTTGATGAATGTAATACATCCTCCAAATTAAAATGTTTTTCACAAACTTGGTAGGAACTAAAGTTAGGTTTGTTTTCCAAATCATCTCGCCGGATCAGTTGCAACCATTGAAGACGTTGCTGTTGTTGTTAATACCGAGAAAACGAAACCAGTTTTTAGTGGTATATGTTGTTATAGTAGCAGCAGAAACACTTTGTGAAAATTTCGAAAACTATCTAATGACACACAGACGGTAAAAAAAACTTTCTAGTATTATTCATACACACAGATAATAAACAAATATTATTAAAAATAAAATACCACGTCTTTACTTTGAATTATGCAAAGTAACAAAACACACATGCACCGAAGTTTTAACACAAGCGTAAGTAGGTAGGTACCTACCGTATCATGATTCATTCAGAACCGCATATAACTACCTATTTCACTCGTCTCAATAACTTTCCGTTACTCTATTCGCTTTATTTATTAATCCACACACATAAAAGGAAATACTTATCCATTAAAAAGACACACATTATGTACCTACCTACTAGTAAGTAAAATTATTTTATAGTCTTACCTTGCAGAGTTTCCAGGTAATTTAAAAAAACTTATGTCTGGATGCGTTATTGACGAATTCATACAACCAAAAACAGCACAATATTTCCTACTCGTCTATTAACTGATTTTTAGAGAAAAAATCGCGCGGTTATTGTTAAAAAAAAAACACACCGTTCGACACTGCGGTACAGCCGTGACTGTCTGCGCCCCGAGCGCACCCCGAGATCGAGGCGCGTAGGTATAGCTCGCGTTTCGTCCGTTTGTATGAAGTTGGAGTACTGTATTATAATTGTACCGTGCCCACAGGCCGGGGCCCGGCAGGTGGAGTGACGATTTGAGCAAAATGGCTGGCAGGAGCTGGATGCGAGAAGCCCAAAATCGATCTAAGTGGCGTGCAATGGGAGAGGCATATGTCCAGCAGTGGACTGCGATAGGCTGATGATGACGCTACCGTACCACATCTCTCTCATCTCATTACATTTTAACCAGAGAGCTTTACTGTCTATGGTCTATGATCGCTGTCAGTCTGTCAGTGCCTGGTTTGGTGCCTGGCCTGAACTGTCAAGCGTCACTCCTGTCATCGCTTATGCCACGCTAGACGAAGAAAATAGTTTTTCAGTTCTATTTAAATAAAAAAGTGCTTACGATGGCTGAAACAATGAAGCAAACTGTCGCTACGATATTAAAAAGTATTGAAAGGTAATTTGTTATGCCATAATAATCCTTAATGTGTAAAAATTGTAATGTTATTTGCTCAGAGGTAGACATTTGTCACGACTAATTTAGATCTTCCTTCCTGCTACATTACATTACAACCTTATGAGACCTTTGTAGTTAATTTAAGTTTTTATTAATTCTTTTTTGCATGTTGTTTTTTTCTACATATTTCACTTACAATTTCTTTTCTTTACAATTTTACATTGAAATCCAACCCTAACCTATATTTAAAACGAAGCATTGTTTATTTTTAAAGTCTTTTACAGTTGCAATTGGACATTAAGTTAGCTCAATCCTTTTTAGTAAGGCCACTCTTTGTATATCCTGTATATGTTGCCTGTAGTTATTTATATTTTATTTATTTACATAACTACACAATAAGTTAAATGTAGGCAAACCTTAAACCATGCAAAATCAATTTAGTACATAACAATTAATAAGTATATAAAATAAGCAAGTAACTCAATATGTGTGACTCAACTCAACTCAATATGTGTAACTCAATACATGTAATAATTGAATATGTAATTTTACAAAAACATCACTTCCTTTCTTACTACTGAACTTTATGTTATAGATACAATCCTGCAAATCTTCAAACATTGGAGAGATATGTGGAAATGCAATCAAGAGAAAACACTTATGATTTGGAAGCCAACCTTGCGGTTCTCAAACTCTATCAATTTAATCCGGAAAAGTTTAATGCAGATATTACATGCCAGATACTTTTGAAAGCTTTGACAAATTTCCCACACACAGATTTTACTTTATGCAAATGTCTCTTGCTGGAGTCAGTAGTAAGTAGTTCCCAACTATAATTTTTAAGTATTTTGCATATATTTTAAGTATTTATTATAAAAAAAGAAGTGAATAGTATTTTAAGTGAACCTGTTGTGAAATAGAGTCAGGAGTGTAATAGGTATACATGTAATTTAAAAATGTTATGAAATTGTTGCTTTGTAAATTTACTTACATAACAAAATTTATTTTATCATGGCAGCTGCGTATTTTGTAATTAAGACATTTTCACTAGAATATTTAAACATAAATAATAACAGAGCACTAGATGATATCCTAATTGGTACATTTGTAGAATGCAATTTAATGATGAATGATGTATAAAGAAAAACTTTGAACTTTGGTCAGCAAACATTTTTTTGTTTTATTGAGCCAAAAACTCTTAAGAACATGAAATGATGCTTAATCAGTGTTACAGATTTCCTTCAGGACACCAAAAACACCTTAGAACACTGGTAAAAAATAGGATGACAAAAATAAGATGCACCATAATATTAAAATAAGCAATTATTATGTTTGTGATATAAAGAATCAAATTTTCAATTCTTGTGAGCTCGATTGTTACCTATATCCACTTATCTACATTCAAAACAACCTTATAATAAAGCCCTTTTCTTCCGAATTTGCTACAGATTTTACAATACATATTTCCGAGTTCTATTTGTTATATTATGTCTCGCAATTCGGTGCGCCTCTTGGCATAGGCCTCCTCCAGCTCTCTCCACTGAGCTCTATCCTCTGCTACTCTAGTCCAATAAGGTCCCAAAGTTAGGCGGATATCGTGTTTCCATCTGGTTTTCAGACGTCAATTTCTTCTACAGTCTCCTCTTGGGTACCATAAGGTGACTTGTTTGCTCCATTTATTTATTTTGGAACGTAGCATATGTCCTGTCCAACCCCATTTTAAATGATCTATGCGAGTTATTATATCTGCAACTTTAGTTTTTCTTCTTATTTCAGAATTTCTAATTTTGTCACTAAGTCTGAGTCCCAACATGCTCCTTTCCAATTTTCCCTTTGCTTGTCTGTTATCGCCCATGATTCGCAGCCGTATGTCATGCACGGGAGGATGCAGGTGTTGAAGGCCTTTTTCTTTATATGCATACCTAAGTTTTTGTTCTTCATTATTTCTTTTAGGGACCAGTATTTTTTCCATCCGATAACAACCTTACATTAGAGTATATATTGTTATTACTTGTTCTAGGTTGAAAATGAGACAATTTCACAAATTAAATATCTGGCTGATATTTTAGAGCAGTGTGATTTCGCACAGTTCTGGAATCGTGTCCATCAGATGCCGGAGTTATGCAATCGCATCAGTGGCTTCCATGACTCCATCAGAAAGTTTGTTTGTCATGTAGTTGGCATTACATTCCAGACTATAGACAAGAATAACCTTGCAAATTTATTAGGAGGCATTGATGGTTAGTATTTATTGTAAATATTTATTTAGTGGTGTGGTGATGGATTGAGAATATGGAGTGTCAAAACCTCTATTCGTACCGTGGGTGTTGTAAGAGGTGACTAAAGGAACAAGCTATGCAGGACAACAGCACTGCAAAGAGAAGGAAGACTTGACCCAAACTCAACCTGTCTGGCCAGCATGGTATAGTAGACCAAAACCTCCTTTCTTAGGAGAGGCCTATGTCCAGCAGTGGCTGTCAAAGGATGTTGATGATGATTATGATTTTTTTAGTTATAACTAGAGAATATATTTAAAATAAGCCTTAAGAATGTAGTTTAAGTGTAACACAAGATTTTTATCAATAGACATTTTTTGTGTGTTGACATTTTTTGACATTTACTGTTTTGTTTAGATGTAACCTTGAAGCACTGGGTGAAGAAATATGGATGGAGAGATGATGGCAATCTGATCTTCATTGCCACCCAGGATGAAAACATTAAGACTAAAAACATCACTGAGAAGATAGAATTTGACCATCTTGCTCCATTAATGGCACTGTTGTAAATTTTATGCAACATTTTTTAATAAAAGTAAAGCAGAAATTGTGTAATTTATTGCTCTGATTGCCCCAATTCTAAGTTTTTTCAATTTATTGTTTTTTTATAATGACCAGATTATTAAGGTCTTTCTGTTAAGGCTTATTTTTTTGTTATCAATTATTATTGGAAGTCATTTTAAGCTCATTCATTATATATTACTTATTCATATCATTAAATCCATGCATGTATTATGTGTGTACCTTAAAGTTGCAGACTGCTTATCATAATACCTACAAGACGTTTTGTACTTAAAAGATAAACATTTACGCAACAGTAACTTTTATTAAATAAAATGTTTTACGTTAGATTTTATGTACAATGACTTCTTGTTAAACGTAACAAAACAAAATATAACAAACATATAATGTATGAAATAATGAGGATGAGTCGTTCTAGCTTTATGATTTCTTTCCATGGCTGTAACCATGTTCCTTGCCGCCGGCGTGGCCACCTTTTTTCCCATGGTCGTGGTGATGAGCAAAATGTTCTTCGTGACCATGATGCCCCTTGTGTCCCTTGTGATCTTCGTCGTAATGGCCTTTGTCGTGTTGACCTTTTTTCCCGTGATGTTTTTCATGGTGGCCCTTTTCATGGTGGCCGCCCTTCTTGTGGTGGCCTCCTTTCTTATCATGATGGCCGTGGAAATCGCCATGCTTGTGATGGTGACCGCCCTTATGAAAGTCATCATAGAACTTATGTTCCTTATGGTATTCATCTTTATGTGATTTGTGGTGGAAGCCAGTCGTTTTTGAACCTTTCTTATGCCCCTTTTTGTGCCCAAATTTGCCTCCCTTATGCCCATGTGCTGCTTCATGATGTTCACCATGGTGGTCATGTTCATCATGGTGTTTCTTTTTATGTCCTCCATGTTCTTCATGATGACCTTCGTGGTGATGTTTCGCATGTTTCCCATGTTCTCCTTTATCGTGGTGGTGATGGGATTTGTAACCTTTGTCACCCTTTTCACCGTGCTCTTCGTGATGATCAGCATGATGTTCATGACCACCGCCTTGTTCGTGATGACTGTCTTTCGCCTTCTTATGTTCAGTTCCCGCTATTGCTTGGTCTTTAACAGTGCCGGCTGCCGACAAGTCAACGGCGGCTGGCGATGTTGTCTCAGCAATAGTTGAAGCCTTTGGTTCTAGACTTGTTTCCTCTTTCGTTTCCGCAACATTTCGAGCGTGAGTGATTAACACTACGCTCAATATTAAATTTATTATAAACAAAGCCTTCATATCTGAAAAAATAAGAAAGTAAAAACTATACACATAGAGAAATTATAAACGTAGAGAAGTAGTAGTGTATAATAGATATATTATGAAAATAAAATCAAAATTACATCACACAAATATTATGCACAGATAGATGTATATGTTAATAGATTTATATGATGTATTGCCGTCTCTCTTTTGAACTACAAGCCGGTCTAGTAGGAATTAAAGAAAAAATAAAAATGAATAGCTCGTTAATTAATACTTGGAATTAAAGTTCCGTTTCAAATTCACATCCATAGTTATAGTTACGATATCTAAACATTCTACCTACTTATTTATACTTTATAAAGTGTCCAAGCTCACCTTGCCTCTTTCAGTGAGAGACGTAACCGCCACCAGAGTTACGACCACAGTGTCAAAATTGTTTCCGCACTCTGATTTTATAGATAACTTCGCTTTCATCTGGAGTTGATTACAAAGTGTTATTTAGCAATCATTGCTGCAGATTTCTGGATGAGTGATTCTATGACGCTGGCTGTGACGACATCGCGTTATGGTTAAACTGACTTAGTTCCGTTACATTGAAAAACTACTGGTACTGATTAATTTTTGTAAATTTATGTGGGTTCTTATTTATTACTTGATAAATTTCATGGCAGTAACTAATTAAACAAGTTGACAATGGGCAATGTGTCAAGATATAGTCACTGTCACACTGTATATGGGAAGTTGGAACGAGGATATGTAGCAATGACTAAATAAGGCTATGTTTTCAGATTACTTTTAGTTTATTTACAAAGAGGTTTTGCATAAAGTAGTTAATTAAACAATACAATAGCTTAAAAGTAAAAGTGTCAGTGCTTGCCATGATGGAATCCCCAATGCTTATGATCCTCGTGTCCACCCTTCTTGCCGTGATCGTGGTGGTGGTGGTGGTGTTCTTCGTGTCCGTGGTGGCCTTTGTGACCTTTGTGATCTTCATCGTAATGATGTTTGTCATGATGACCTTTGTGACCGTGGTGATGTTCATGATGGCCAGAATGATGATGGCCACCCTTCTTATGACCACCCCCATGTTTCTCATGGTGTCCGTGGTGATGACCATGTTTGTGGTGCTTGCCTTCCTTGTGATGGTCATCGTAGAAGTGATGATCTTTGTGGTATTCGTCCTTGTGGTACTTCTTGTGGTAGCCTTCAGTCTCTTCGCCTTTGTCATGATGTTTTTTATGATGGTGCTTACCGCCCTTATGATGGTGACCGTGTTCGTGGTGATGGCCATGATGATCATGCTCATCCCAATGTTTTTTGTGGCCGCCTCCGTGTTCATGATGATGTCCAGAGTGGTGATGTTTGCCGTGTTCTCCGTGTTCACCTTTGTGGTGATGGTGATGTCCTTTGTGGCCTTTGTGTCCCTTTTCACCGTGTTCATGATGATGATGCGCATGGTGCTCTTTGCCGCCGCCCGACTCGTGATGATGGCCGTGATGACTAGCTGCGGCGACGAGATCATTCTGATCGATCTCTCTGCCATAGCTAACTACTACCACACATCCTAACACGGCTAGGGCGACCAGCGACCGCATTATGCCTTTTTCCACTTCCCAGTTCTATTTGATGTATATTTGGTTACTTGAAGTGAACTGCTTGTAAATCCGGCTGTGACCGCATTTTATATCAATAAATCTGTGGGTTGCAGCCAGTGAAACCATCGGACAAGGACACCACTGCGGCGGCAAGATCGGTACCGTTGCGCTTTATTACAATATCTTATCATTGCGACATATTCAATGGAATACGCAAAAAACAAATCGTTGTTAGTAGGTATGTAAGTACATGGTAAGCCTATGCAAAACGCATTAACGCGTTTTGATGTTCGAATATTGTGTTTAGTTAATAAGTTATTTTGGTATTTATTGCGTATCTCAAAGAGGCTACTCAATTCGCCAGCCCAAATATATTTGGGATAAGGGTTAGAAGAGGATAATTAGATGATGATCAATAAGTGTCCTCAATACTGTTTATGTACCATAAACACATTTTTTGATACTACTAGTGTAGCATCAAGTCACATTTATTACTATCAGATATTCATAATCAATTTTTTTACATGATTTTTATTAACCAGTACAGCTTGAACTAGTTTTGTATAGACCTTCCGCATCGAGAAAGGTATATAAGTATATGTAGATATGTACTGGACATTGTAGACAGTGTGTCAATGTTCAGGCCAAAATTCTTATTACACCCTTGATTCAACATTATTAAGACACCAATAAGTACATATAAAAGTGTTGATATCATACATTTTATGAAGAATAATATACAACAAATAATAATACTAGCAACACTTACCTACATCAGTCGGAATTTCTTCACATTTTCGAAATAAACAAGTTTTCTATACATTTACAATCCCGTACAATAATTAAAAGCTATAAAACTGTAATGAAATGGATCCTTTTTATAAAAATAAAATACAAAACCGTTTAAATAAATAATATATGTTGATAGTAAGACATGACGTTTAACGTCATGTCAAAATACAAATAAATATTGATAATGAAAGAAATTCGACTGGAAAATGTTAACCCGAGCTAGATCCAGAGCACTGACAACATCCCCTCGTCGCTCCGCTCCGTCTTGCCGTCCCCGGAAGCTACAACAGAAGTTCCGGCCGTGGCTGAGGCGTCGAGCTCGACTTCAAGCGACGAGTTTTTCTCTCCGCCGACGTCGCCAACACCTGTACGTCGGCAGGGGAGAGGCCGGCCACCGACCAGCTTGGGATCCCGAGGACTACTGACCTCGAACAGGGTCCCCGCTACCGGTGGCGATGTGCGCCGCATGAAGTGGACAAAGTCTATTAATGAAAATGTCATGCGGGCATATTATTGGGCTACAGAGGTGGGAACGAACCTTACTGCGTACCGTGTTCGACTAGTCTCTTTGTTTCAGGAGCTTGAACCAGCTGTCAACGTATCAGCACAACGATTGTCGGATCAAGTACGGGCTATACAGCGCTGTCATCTGCTGGATGATGCAGTACTTGAGAGGATACGCTCTGACATACGGAATACTTTAATATAATAAAATAAAATATAAAATGGAAAGCAAGTTTCTGTTATTGACAAATTTATTCTTGACTACAAATTAACAACAGTTGCTAGGTAACATCATCATATTAAAGATAGACAATTTGTAACTGATGTATATAACCTTCTTAACATTCCGTCTCCTCTTCAAGCAACTGTTGGTTAAGTGGAGGCTCCAGCTAGCTTACATAGTTCTAGAAGCCTAGGCTTAAATAATGGCTTTGTCAAGAAGTCTGCCAGTTGATTCTTGGTATCAACCTTCTCAACTTTTATATCCTTTTCTAGGACACACTTCCTTACGAAAAAATGTTTAAGCCTTATATGCTTTGTTCGCTGGTGTGCTTCGTAAGGTGGATCATAAGCTAATCTTATAGCGGATTCATTATCTATAAAGAGTGGTGTAATCTCCTTCTGAGTATTACTCTGCATGAAGTTCATGATCCGTTTAAGCCATATAACTTCTCTGGCGGCCTCACTTGCTGCAATTATTTCAGCTTCTGTAGAAGATATTGCGACAGTAGTCTGACGTTTACTCTGCCATGCTATTGCACCATTGGCGTTGAGGCAAATCATGCCGCTGGTGGAGCGTCCAGTCGTCTCATCACCACCATGATCAGCACCACTGTAGCATCTTAAGCCTCGTTCTACAGTGAAAGATTTGTATGTTATACCATACTCTAGGGTGCCTTTAACATAGCGTAGAATTCGCTTAACTCTCGCTACATCTTCTGATGTTGGATTATCTAGCTTCCGTGACACTATTCCAACTGCAAAAGCAATGTCAGGTCTAGTGCCAACCATCAAATAGGATAATGCTCCAACAACCTGTCGATATGGAAAGTCATGGATATCCGTATTGTCTTTCGAAGCTAGCACGTTATCTTTAACAATTGGGGTTACTGCAGCTTTGCAATTCTGCATGCCAAATCTTTGCAGTAGCTTCTTTGCATAGCTCTTTTGATCAATTTTGATTGACCCATCAACTTTACGTTCTATTTCAATTCCAAGAAAATAGGAAAATAGATTTTGAAGCGTTGACGCATTTCGTCCAAAAACTTTTCAGTTTCTTTTGAACTTGCTGACGCTATCAATCCGTCATCAACATATAAAGCTATTAATAACTTGTTCTTTCCCTCTCTTTTAAACAAGCAGGGGTCACCCTCACTCTGTATGAAGCCAACTTTGAGGATGTGCTCAGTAATAGTAGAGTTCCAGCACCTCGGTGCTTGTTTAAGTCCATAGAGACTTCGTTTAAGTTTGCAAACTTTACCATCATTGTTTGAATATCCTTCTGGAGGCTTCATATAAATATCCTCTTTCAATTTGCCATATAGAAAGGCAGTTGAAACGTCGAACTGACATAGAGAGAGATTTTCTTGAGCAGCTATACTGAGTAATGCTCTTATGGTACTTGTCTTTGCAACAGGACTAAAGGTTTCATAATAATCTAAACCCTTCTTCTGTGAAAAACCTCTTATTACAAGTCTGGCTTTGTATTTATCAATCGATCCGTCAGGATTCGTCTTGATCTTAAAAATCCACTTGCTTGAGATCGCTTTTCTGCCCTTGGGTAAATCTACCATTTCCCATGTTTCATTTTCTTTTAGAGAATTAATTTCATTATCCATTGCCTTTTTCCATTCATCAAAATCTTTAGATGCCATCACTTCTTGAAATGTACTTGGCTCTTTTCGATTTTCATCGCTTATCAAATTGCCATTCATACAAATGTTGCAAATGAAGTCTTTGTATCTAGCCGGTGGCCTGAGATTTGATCGGTCTCGTAGCGTCATCCTGCCTTCAGCCTCGATCTCAGATGCAGATAAAGACGAATCGTCTCTACGGTCTGGCCTCGATTCATTTATATCGTTGACTTGACGATCTGTCTCGATTACATCGCTAACCTCTTCTTCGGATATAGGCTCGTAAAAGGATTCCTCCGCCTCTAAAAATGTTTCAGCCTCTGGCACGTCATCTTCACTCGCAGTTTCAATCTCTGCACATGATGATTCAGCAGCATGTTCATCTTGCTGAGAAGACGATGCGATACTTTCATCATGACTTGTCAATGTCTGCTGGATGTTGCTCGTGTCGGCCGGCGTGTAACATTCATGCTGACGAGGAATGACGAAGTCAAACAGGGTGTTGGAATTTTTATCAGCAGTTTTGTTCTGATTGGCAACAGGCTCGTCAATCTCTTCAAAGTGACCCAATAAAGGATTCTCATTAAAAGTGACATCTCTGGAACGAATCAGTTTGAAAGAGTTGCTGTCCCAAATACGGTAGCCATTGTCAGAGTCATATCCAATTAATATTCCTTTTTGTGCCTTCTTGTCTAACTTCTTTCGTCTTTGCTTGGGAACATGTGGATAACAAATGGATCCTATTATTCTTAAATGACTCAGTCTGGGTTTCTTCTGGTGCCATAACTCATACGGTGATTTTCCATCCTCAGAGGTTGGGCCTGTTCTGTTTAAGATGTACACCGCAGCAGATATCATTTCAGCCCAAAGTGCAGGAGGAATTTTTGCATGTGCGTACATTAGACTCCGCGCCATTTCCACAACGGTCCTGTTGTCTCGCTCTGTTGGATTTTGTTGTGGCGTATAGGGCATTGTCAATCTTTGCACAATACCTTCCTTCTTGAGAGTAGCTTGTACCTTCGCGTTGACAAACTCACCACCGTTGTCGCTAAGAAGTTCTTTTATGACAACTCCTGATGCTTTTACTTCAGTAAGCATAAGTAGCAATTTCGCGTGTACTTCAGCTTTTTCCCTCATAAAATACACAAATCTGTACCTTGTATAATCATCTTTGAAGAGAACAAAATATCGCAACTTTGTGATAGAATATGGGAAGGGTCCACAAACATCAGCATATACAAGTTCTCCAGGTCTCGTTGCTTTCTCTCGGGTCCCAAACTTAAGTCTATGGGATTTGCCATAGATGCAACCTTCACAGAGTTCCTTGGTTACTGGTACTTTTATATGAAACTCATTTTCAATCACCTTCTTCACATGGCTTTTATTTTGATGTCCAAATCTTTCATGATATAGCTGTAACAAATTTGTGTTTGTGGACACCTGATTGACTCGTACAGTTGGTTCCAGACATCTTATATTAATTTTAAAGAGTCCTCCAAACTTGCTGCGGGTGCCAATCAGCTTTACCTGTCCATCAATCTTTAGTGTACATTTTAGTGTGGTAGATTCAAAAACACTGTTGTCAGATATGTCGTGGGTTGCAAGTACTGAAAATAAATTCCTGCTAATGCTGGGTACGTACCAGACATTCTTCAGTAGTATCGGTATTGCATTTCCGTTTACATCAGCCTCTGCAAGAATATTTCCGATGCCTAGGGCTTCAATATATTGGCCATTCGCGCCAGTCACTGTATGACGGCTCTTGAAATATTTGAAGGTCTGAAAGAGATCATTTCGATTGGTAACATGATTGGTAGCCCCATTATCAATGAACCAATTCTCTAAATCTTT